AATTCAGAGGCAAGGAGTCCTAACAAAGGCACAGGGGTCTGATATAATCGCTCAAAAGGAAGCTAATAAACAAATTGAGGGCGAAATGCGTCAAAATAGGAGGCGCCCGGGTGGAAGTGCACGGCAGCAAGCGCGCTGTAGGCGCTGCGGCGAGACAGGACATAATGCTCGTACGTGTCAAAAAGATGAGGAAGTTATTATAGAATAGACTGCAAGTTGAATTAAGTTAATATCTATTAGCGTTGTGGAGCAATCTACGTTCAAAGCTGTTGAGAGTTGATGAGGTGGCCGGCTCGCTTGGGTGGCCGGCTCGCTTGTGTTGCACGTTAGCTAAATTTAGCAACTAGCCTTAGAATACGTAGCTGTACAACTCCCGCGCCATCACTGTGTGTGCGCTGGTTCAGGCAGCAGCAGGAATGCGCAATATAACACAACTTTAACCTCGATGGGATGGTTGCGCCACTGGATATTCGGGCTGTTGCGGAGCCTACTGCTCTGTATGGTCGCCCTCTTCTATGTTTGTAAATAAAGTGAAACTGTTATTTTCGGGACGTGCCGGGCTACTTACATAATACAACTATCTAGCTCGGCCTCCTAACCTGATACTTGAGCTTCGTCCCATTGTTCTACGCTCTTGACGTTACGCAATCAATTATGAGCACCCGTCCGATTTGCAAGGCACGCAGTGCAACCCCGCAAACATGTCCATTAGCGCAAAGGCTTTTATCAATAAGGAGATTAGTTGGAAGCACAAAGGGAAGTACACAGATCTATCTTAATAGTGTAATTATCTAGTGGACATACTTGTTATAAGATGCCACCATCCTAAGACCATGACTATCTTGAGATTACGACTGTCCTAACGATATCTTTCTTTGGAACGTGACGGTTTCTACTTAGGAGCCGGAAACAAGAAGCTGGTAGTTCCTTCGAGGTAGGGTGAGGATTCCGCGGTTGATGTCGACTGTGTGGCGGATGTTGACAATGAAGAACGTGCTGATGTCGATAGTTGGGAAGACGTCGAGACTATGGCCATAATCCCACTTAGCTCCCACCACATTCAAAAGCCCATCATAAAGAAAATGATAACTCACGCTTCACACTTGCCCTCTGAACTCCCAATCACTCCTCTCCCATTCCCCAGGATATGCCCCGGCTCCGCGCAGCAGGAATGACCCGCTTTCTTATATAGCGTCCAAGTAGTATTCGCGCAGTACAGTCAGGTGTCTAAGACCAGCTGGATACAACGCGTATCCGTCCCGCCCGCTGCAGCAATATGTGTTGGAACTACTCGGGCCGCTAGTAGAGGGACGCCAGGCGCCATCAGGACAGCAGGCATGGTCCATCCAGGCGGAGTGCATAAGAGCTCAAGGTTTTCATGGTTGGCGGTGCCGGGAGGAAGTAAGATCGAAGTTCTGTAGGGCGGGGGTGATTGCTGATATTATGAAGAGTGATAGGAAGAGAAATGCGATTAGGAGGAGATTGTTGGTACATGACAGCATACGAGGGAGAGAACGACTGTGCAAGGTGAACTTCCGCCGTGGATGATTCGATTGATTCAACGATGAATGGTAATAGAAGTGCCTATAGCAGAGTTGCAGGCCCTTCATCTACGCAAATAGGATATATGATTCTGCTTTTCTGAAAATCCATGCTATGTCTAAAACTCCGCCCAAAATACTCCTAACAACCTTCCCCAACCCCTTTCGACCTCTCGCCACTAAATTCTCACCACTACCCCCTCCCAACAACCCCTTCCAGACCCCCCCTCTTCCCCGTCCCACCCCTCCCGGGCCCCTCATTCCCCATCGCCCCCTCCCCCAACACCTCCCTCACCCTTCCCTCAAACGCCTGAATCATTTTCTCCGCCACAAACGGCGCCGCCCCCGCCGACATAGCGCCATAGATCGGATTTGCAAACACATACTCAATACTCAACGAACATTCCGTCTGCGGCAGCGCCTCCGCATCCGTCTTATCCTGCGGCCGCATTTGCTCATCCCCCCTTCCAGGAACCTTCCCCGGCGGCGGCTTAAACATAAACGGCCTTAACGTCCACCTCGTAAGAAGATGCGTCAACAACCCGCTATCCCCCTCGACCACCTCTGGGGTAGTCTTTGAAGTCGAATCCCACAAATGATGCCTAATAAGCTCCGCCCCCAGCCGTGTCCTACTCTTCCCCGACACCGCTTCCACGATCCCCACGCCCGTATTCCCCGCGCCGGGAGCAACGCAGTACACCTTACTCTGGAACCCCTCCCGCACGCCCCCGAAGCCGACGACCAGTGTTGCCTCGCTGGGCCAGCGCTTGCCGTGCGCGTCCTCGGCGGACCATTTCGTAACCGTCGAGCTTTGGCAGTAGGGCAGGAACTGCGCGTAGCTGGGCACGTCGGCGATGAGGTTGAAGAGGTCGGTATGCGCGTAGGGTAGGATGCGGGACACGGTGAGGGTGGCTGGTTTTGCGTGTGCGGCGGCGAGCGGAGAGGAGGGGTGGGTGAAGGGGTTTGGGAGGAAGGTGCGGCGCTGGTTTCGGAGGTGGTGAGGGTGTGGGAGGCGGGCGCGGAGGACGGAGGGCGGTGGGCGGAGTGGTTTCATTTTGACGTGGTGGGGATGAGATGGAGGGGAGACGTGTGTAAATTCGGGGTGTTTGGTAGGCAATTGAATATAATGTCACCAATGCTCCATGACGAACGAGGTTTGTGGAGTCGTGCGATTAGAGCTAGGTGTGGGATTCCTGAGGTCATACATTAAATAAGCTTTTTTGAGCCTCAACTGGTTCCAGACGATCTACCGAGACGCAAGGGCCAAGTCACATGATCTCATTTTCCAGAGACTCTCCCTCGTTAGATCCATGTGGACTTTCTTGCTAATGCTTGTAGGGCTTTTGCGTACTGTTAGGAATCTAGACGGTCCAGTCATACTCTTAGCTCGTGTATAAGTAATTGCTAAATCTAATGTGGCCTCGCGAGCTGTACCAGCTATTCAAAATGTTAAGCTTCCAGAATGTGAGAATACAGCAAGGTACCACGAGCAGCGATAGTGGGGTGTAAGCAGGCTTTTGTCACAGCACTATAGTTTCCGTTGGAGAGACAAAGATTTCTATTGCTCTCATACCAGTTTCATCTTCGCCTATAGTAGGACAAGACAATTACCAGCCTAGCTTTTAGCTACTTTCGCTCCCATGCAGGCCGAAAAGCAGAACAATCCGAAATTCCAAGCCACACGGAACACCCTTGGCCACTCCAATCCCAGTCCCGAAAAGTAGGAGAAAAGGAAAAGGTGTCCGATGCAAAACTTGCCCAAATGTAGGAAAATCACTCACCATTTCGTTCATTCCTCCCATAAACCGAGGGTAAGAACCGAAGTGGGCGGCTATGATCAAAGGTGTACAAGAAAGAGAATGGCTCGACCAAAACTCAGATTTCCAGAATCAGCACGCCATCAGTGTGATGATGCATAAGCCGATGGGAAGTGTGTGGTTCTAGAAGAACCGGATAGGAGTCTGCTGGTCATGTGAGTGGATGCCTTTGCTAATTGCTCGTAATGTAGTTGGATCCTTACATCTCCAATGGATGGCTGTTCGCCCTGTTGTTGATAGTACTGACCGTTCGCAGCAGCGGCTTTGCCGTCCTCAGTCTTGTCCTGAATTTGCTTCTGGATGGATAAAGGCCTGTTGAAAGAAGGGACTTCGTGTCAGCATCTTAATATGACCAGTATAGAAGTCTTTTACTTGTCTAGCAGCTGTGCGGGATTTAGAGTATACGATGGTTCGTGACGCGAATAATAACAGAACGGAGGGATGTGACGACCAGAGAAGGGGGTTGGAAGAATAGCCCGACTAAACGATAGAACCAGAAACAAGAAAAAGACGAGAAAGACGAGAAGAAAGACCAGAACGGGAATAACGCAAAGGAGGGGGAGAACGAGGCATCGGTGGAGGGGTTGGCGGAAACGTGCTCCCAGGCAGTCGAGCCGAAACCACCTCAACCTTATCCGAGTAACGCTTTCGACCAAACGCAGGTGTACGCGATGATCGTCTATAAAGTCATGATCAAGTTGCCAATACTTAAGGCAAGCTTGATACGGAGTGAGAGCACTTATGAATGTGGGGAGAGGGAAGGGTGAGGGAGGAGAGGGCACATACCCATTCGCTTCCCTGTCAAGCTTCATGTACTCTTTGGCGGCGGGATCCTTGGCGAGATCCTTGTTGGCATTCTTGACGGCATCTTTCGTGCCACGCTCCAGGAGGTAGGTCATGTAGTGCTGAGAGATTTCCTTGATCGTCTCGGAAGCTAATCGTGTGCTCGAGCGAATGAATCTGTGGAGCTGTTTAATCCGCTCGTAGTGCTCAGCCTCCGTCGCTGCACTAGTTGGCTGTTGAAGCTCGAACTGGAGGTAATTGACCCAGAACGCGGGAACATCGAGGTAGTATTGTTCGTTGGATTTGAAGACCTGGCGGGCTTCATCAACCGAACCCTTGATTTTCCACAGAAGACGAGCCCATTCAGCCACCATGGCCCCTTGAACGTAAATACCGCAATCTTGGGACTCGATGTATGTCTTATAGACGTTGATGGCGGCATCTAGTCCCTCTTGGCGACGCTCAAGGTTGGCCCAAGAGATGATTGTCTCGAGATGGCCAGGAGACATGTCCAAGATAGCTTCATGGATAGCCCGGGAAACATCGATGCGGTCCGTTGACTCTTCGAAACGCGCGTACTGGAGGCGTACTGCGGGCCGAGAGATAGGAACATACAAGGCACTCGCACGGGCGTAGATGTTGCGAACTTCCTCTTCTTTCCCTTCTTGGGCATACATCCAGCGCGCAAAGCGCAGCCAGAACTCCTCGTAATATGCCGCGGCGACCAAGCACCGCTCATAGAGAAAGACAGTACGAGTGAAGTCGCCTTCAGCTTCCTCGAAGTCCAGGTACTTGCGCCAGTTGACTAGCTGAGTCTCGTCAAGCTCGGTGACGTGGAAATATGGTCGCTTGATCTCCTGCTCGTATGTCCATCGCTTCGTCGTCTCGGTCTGAGTGCGTTGGAAGATCTCTAGGTGAAAGTTATCGATTCTCGCACGAAGTTCACGCTCAATCTCCAGCTCGCTCTTGATCCTAGTGACGTCGAGTTCGACCTCAGTGCGGAATTGGACGAGAACAGAGTCATAGACGAGCTCGTTGAGAGGACGCGACGCAGCAAGGTTCCTATAACGCTCGAAGTATCTCGAGTATTGATGCATCGGAATGTTGATGATGCGGCCGAGAATGGCGAAGATCTTGTCATGGGCTTCAAGACGCTCTTCGAACTCAATATATTTGTCCCAGAATGGATGGGCGAGAAAGTCCAAGCCCACGCACATAGCACCGCGCTCGAAGAGCCTAATTCTAACGTCAGTATGCAATGTGATGAAAGGAATGGTCCCATAAAGAAGAGGGCTAAGAGGGCAGCAAACGGAGTTGTACGTGTAGGTTTATGGGCCGCTAATCATAGAAAGCTCCAGGCAGCTTTAGGGATCGATGAAAGGGAATGCCCCTCGAGACGGAATCTTTCAGAGTAGGTAACGACGAGAGAAAAGAAGCTCTGAAGGATAACTGTGAGAAGAGCGGCGCGCTTCTGGGTGGTGTTGATATCTCACCCATTCTTGTGCCCGCAGCGCCAGAACGTGCTGCACGTACGACTGAACCTCATTCTATCCCCGGTCCAGTTGTACTTGGGTACTTGGGCAATATAGCTTCCCGTCGGCTATGGCCGGGCGATGCTTGGGCAACGTTATATGACGGGGAGGGAAGGAAAAGGTTCGTTTTGATACTCACTCTCGGATCTCTTCGGTGTTGTGGCAGGTATCGACTTTGAAGGCGCAGTAGTTCATCCAAAGGTCAACCGAGTTCGTGATGCTAGCGACGCCCCGCTCGTAGACCTGTCGTAGGGTTAGCGTACGTTTCGATTAGGCTGCTGGTGAGACCACGCACCATATCCGCGGCTTCGGTACCAGCAATGGAGAACTCCAGGTCGGCATATTTCTTCCAATATCCGAAGAAGAGAGGAAATTTGGCGAGGAATCGGTTGTAGATCTCGCGCGTGAAGGCTATAGCCTGCGGACTCGAGTTGCGGTTGAGGCCGCCCTCGAGGGCTTCCGCAGCTCGGACTAGCTTCTCCCAACCATCATACTCGTCCTCATTTTCGACCTGTAGCGTATTAGCAATTGGCGACAAAGATCTCGTCGATGGAGGGCGACAGTACCACATCGCCAACGAGCTTCTTGAGCTCGATGTTCTCTTCGTCGGAGCCACCGAGAGGGACCTCGGCGACGCTGCCCTTGACATAGACCATGGCCAATCGCGCGTGCTGGAGGATGGTAGCGCTGAAGTCAAGACGCGGTGTCGACGCGTGAGGCTGCAGTGATGGAGCGGCTGGTGGTGGTGGTGTTGTGAGACGGAGAAGCTGGCGGCTGGCGAGGCGATCAACCCGCACGCTAAATTTTGAGCCTCACACGTGCCCGCCACACTAGTGGCCTGATCAGGCATCCACATATAAATCCAACAAAAAGCTTCACTGAGAGACAACACCACCATATATATGTCCTTTTATTAGCGAACATTGTTTTCACGACCGACAATTAGCTACATCAGATTTCTGCTCAAACCTATCTAAGGGGCTTAATTTGACTTCACCGACTTATAAATATAAGCGTTTCCGGTATATCGGAAGACCTTGCTTGCGTCTCATATCTGATTGTCCGCACATATTCATCATTCATCACGAATAGATCTAGTGTAAAGATATGCCATATCCATTGACCTCCCTAGCAAGCCGTTTTTCTCACAAGAACCACCCCGGGCTAGGACTTTGCAACCAGCCAGCTATACAAGAAAGTCTTTGGAGCACAAGAAACCACAGAACCACAAAACCCGCACGCTATGTAATCTAGGTATCCACAACAACACCTCGTAGACCCATCCCTCATGACACGTATAGACTCCAAGAAGCGACAAAACAGACACCCTCGCGCCATGCATTGCAATAAGAATGCACTCATCAGCCAACCTCATCAGTCATATCCGCTGCACCACTTCATACTCTCACGACGCCAGTCCCCCTTCCGTCTTCGTCGTCTCCCCCTGAGCAAACGAGAACGGGCTTTTTGTCATCTCGGGGCTCCTAGGGCTAATCGGCAGCGCAAACAGCCCATCTTCCCTATCATCATCATCATCCGGCAGCGGCGCGCCCCTCGACTCGAAATTCGGCGACGCAAACGTGGCATTCAACGACGCCATCCCGGGATCCTGCTGCTGCTTCTCCTGCTGTGCCACGATGCTGTGCGGGGGCGCAATCCCCACCCCTCCCACCGGCCTCTGCGGCGGCTTCGCAGCCAACGACAGCGGATTCGCGCCCTTAAACGCCGCAAACGAACTCACCGCAACATCCGAACTCTCCGGACTCAGCGGGTTATTCGCCGACAGCTCTATCCCCCCAAACTCCTTCCCCCCGTTCCCCAAATCCCTCTCGCTCGTCCCCAGCTTCAACCCCCTCAACTTCTCCATCAACCTCCCCCCGCCCGGGGTCCTCGGACTCGCCGGCCCCAAACTCGCCATCCCCCCCGCCTCCGCGAGCGAAATCGTCAGCCCCATCGGCTTCGGCGCCACCCCGAACGTGCTCTCAATCCACTCCTTCTCCTGGCTCGCCATCTCCAGCCCAATCCCCTCAATCCCATTCTCCCGCGTCTCCCTCTCAATCTCGCGATTCAGCACCTGCAGCCGCTTCTTCGCCCAAATCGTATGTAGAATCCCCTTCTTCCCCGCCGCGCGCGCATTCGCGCCTAGCTCGGGCGGGAAAATCGCCGGCAGCGGATTCGTGTGCCACACCACCTCCTTGCCCTCGTCCGCGTTCCGCGGGCGGTGCGTCAGCACGACCACCGGCGGCACCGCCGCGCCCGGCGCCAGCAGGAAGTACATGCGGTTGATGTCGCCCGCGGGCTGATCGTCGGCGCTCAGCACCGTCGACTTGCCCTCCCAGGACACGTGCCAGTCGCCGCGGATGCGCCGCGTGGCGGGCGAGTCTTCCCACTCCACCATCAGGATCTTGGTGCCCTCGCGCCCGTGGCCGGTTTCGAACTCGAAGCGCGCGAGCGCGTTGGTGGAGGAGAGGGACGGCGATTCGACTTCGTCGTGCGCGGGGAGCGCAGCGGAGGTGGTGTCGACGGGGTTGAAGGGGGGGCGGGGGGCGGTGGTCGCCATTGCGCTTGTGGTCGGGTGGCAGAGAGTGTACGGATGGGTGGAGGCGGAGGTGGACGTTGGAGGGAGGGCGTGTTATGGGCCGCCGGCGAGGGGTATATTGTATAGAGGTCCGCCGCGTGGGACACGGGGGTTGCGAAATGAGGTCGAAATGAAGGGTGGTGCTCGCCCTACGGCCAAGGAACCGCGCTGGGGTGCCACGCTTCGTAGTCTATCTCCGTATTCTGCGTGGGTGACGTGCAAGCAAGTCGAACGGATATGCAGGTAAATCAGATACGGTGGTGGTCGATAAGGCTGGCCGCAGGAGAAGAACGGTAGGTTTCAGTGCACGCAGTCTCGAGTGCCAGGAGTGCACCTTCGAAACGCCCTGGCTGGCCATCTCTCGCTTCTGCAAAGGTTGGTTATTCTTAGCAACCCCGCCATGCTTCGCAAAACCACTCTACTCCTACGCGCCTCAGGGCTGAGGCTGGCATCCAACACGTTTCTAAATGCAGGGGCAACACCATCACGGGCGTTACGCCCTCACGCTCACTCAATGATTCGCTGCTTCTTTGGATGAATGTTTGATTATGCCTATTATACATTGCTGTGGAAGCTGCACTAGTTCCACGCAGCGTACCCGCCGATCCACCCATATGTAAGACGGACGCACGCCCGCCTGCTCGGGTGCTGTCCCTGGCATGAAGCCACAAAGAGAGAAAGAGGAAAAAGGTGGCGTGGTATGTGTGATGCGAGCCGTAAACCTCGTAATGATGATGTGGATGGATGAGGATAATCGTAACCGATGATCGTAGTTCCAAACGCCGCCCATGGATATGCCGCCAGTGCCCATGCTTGATTCTAACACACTCCAGCTAAGGGAGGTAAAACAAGTAAAAGAAAAATTACAAAAGTGGGTATAGAGCGTAAAATAAGTATATGCAAGATGAAGAAAGTATGCTTTTTGACCGACCAAAGCTGATGCAGGGATAGGAAAAATGATAGTGGGTGTTTGGTCGTTTGTTAGTTCGAGGTGTCCAGGACAGACCAGGATGCGCTTTTCCCATCAAGGGAGCAAGAAGTCCAGGGCTTCTAGATCAACAAGAAGTCCCAGTTCTTCTGCCGCATCACATCCCGCCAGTGGATGCTCTGCCTTTCGCCTCGAGCGAGGGCGTCGTCGTTGATGCGCCAGACATCCTTGAGGAGCTCCTTAACTCGTCCAAAGGAGCCAAAGTCGGATGCTTCGCCGAGGCGTTGCGTGCGTTCTGCGAACATGTTGCGGAAGGTGGAGCCAGCGCAGGAAACGGATCCAGCGATCAGGAGAGGCCAGACGAGGGAGCGGTCGAAGCCGTCTGGGCCCGCGGGGATAAAGTCCATGGCGTCGGTGAGTGCGTGAACGAGGTTGGCGATGCTAGGTTGCGAGCGGTCGAAATCCGGGACCAAGCTGCACAAGTAGATGCGAGCCGCAAGGCGGAAGACGGCAGTCATGTTGCGGCTCAGTTGCTTCGGGCGAATTGCGCCAGTCGAGGAGTAGGCGTTTCCAACTGCTTGTGGACCGGGCTCCGTCATGCTGATTTGGTCGCCAATCATCTTGATATGAGCGCAGAGTTGAACCTCCTCCATCTTGTCCATCTTCAGCGCCTCCAGACATGCGATCTCTGAGATCAAGTACATGATGTGGTCGTCGCAGCCCATAAGTTCGTTGAGACCAGAAGGAGCCTGAGCGATGAGCTTCTCACGGTAGGTATCAGAGAAAGCAGGAGCGCGTCCAATCATTGTAGCACCGAGAATGTCAATCCAAGCCGCAAGCGTCATGTTGAATGGAGGCTGCGCATGCGCATTCTCATTCATGCCAATGAGCGTTTGTGGGAGATCGAGCTTGTGAACGAGGCTCGTAGCGGCTTGGAAATGCTGGTGCCAGGGAATATCGGGAAGGGCATCGTCAGGGCGGCCAACTGAGCACTGGAAGAAGATCATGCCAAGGGTAGCCTCGAGGATCTGCTGGTGGTCAGTGTCGCGGTTGAGCGCCTCGCATAGTTCCGAGATGGTCGCGTAGCGGTGGCGCATGATGTCGTTGTCAATCTGCTCGCCCTGAATGCGTTCCGTGGCCTTGAGATGGATCGCAGCAATGCTCATACAGCAGTGTAGATACGTCTTGTTGGACTCGAGCGCTGGGAGGATGACATCAGATCGAGTGGAACCGTGCTGGTTGACTTCGAGGATCGGGAAGATGAGGCGCAGAACGTTGTCGATGAAATGGTTCAAGAGGTGCTTGTCGCAGTCGTCGACTTGGATCATGGCCTGGTGGGACGGGCTGAAAGAACCGGCGTGGGGGAAGTCGAAGAAGTTGAAGTCCAAAGGCTCCTCGGCGAATGATTCGCGGCGGCTCTCGAAGTAATCCTGCTGGACCCAGTTCTCGATGGGAAATTGATTGCCGGGAACTGGCGGTGCCTGGAATGTGCTGAAAGTGGAGATGGTCGAGTCGCGTCGTGTGGGAATGTCGTTGACGAACATCTGGGTTTCGGTCTTGATGTCAACCTCGTATGGCGCGAATTGCCCGCATTGAGGGTAGACTGGTGCGAACATTGGAGGAGGCATCATCGACGAGCTGAGGATGTCTGGAGTGCCGACATGGTTGAAGTTGTAATCAAGAGACAATTGCGAGTCGACCGACGGGGCGCGCGTGCAACCAATGCCATCTGAGTAGGTGTCTGACGTTGGAAGGGAGTGGCATAGGCTCGGGGGAGTGTTTGCGCTCATCGGCACGCCTTGCGAGGTCTTCTCGTTGAGCTTGGTGCGCTTGATGATGTTCTTGATCACTTCCTTTTGCTGGCGGCGCTGCTCATTGTTGCTCCACCACATGGGTCGCTTGTACTCGCACTTCAAACCGAGATGCTTGCAGGCTTTGCAGGACGACTTGCCCTCATCGCACTTCTTCCTTCGTAGACGGCAGGTGAAGCAGCCTGTGCGGGTGTTAGCAGAGACGTCCAAGCGCGGGATCCCTGCAGGTGCAGCGGGAGCGGGAAACACTGACCTGACCGCGATCGCTTGTGCATCTTTGCAGCTTGAGATTTGGATTGGTTTTGGGTGTTGGTGCCGACCATGGTTGCAGACTGTTTTCCAGCGGAGGCAAGATGTGAGGAGGACATGAAGGTGGTCGGGTCGGGGGAGTGGGGATATAAGGCAGTAAACAATGCGGTACGGGGAAAACGACTAATAACGCGCAGCGCGGGAGGGAGCGAAAGGACAGGATGTGAGGCGCGACCGGGTTGCTCTTAATTAAAGATAGAAAGCTCAAAGTCGACCAGCGAGTTCGAGGAGAAGGAAAGGTAGCAAATTACTTGGTCTGCCGTGGCGTGGAGTCGACAAGTGCTGGAGGGATAGTACCTTATATGGGCCGAAACGAGCAGATAGATCGCAAAATGCCATGATCGATTCTGTTCTATTCTTGGAGACGGCCAGGCGGGACCCCCAACTCGTCCTGCAGGCCAGCACTCGAGGTGGAGAGTGACCAGTTTCTAGGTACCATTTGGGGGTGCTGATTGGGTGAAGGATCCCACGCCAGTCCCGGGTAGTCACTAGCCAAGTCAAATTAGCAGTCTTTCTTGCTGGGAGGAGCTATTTTTGCCTGCGAGCCGCCAGCACAACCACCTGGTGGACGGTGCGCAAGAGGGGTACAGGAGCGACATGGGGAGAATCGATCGGCTGGCACCCCCTGGCACTCTCGCTGATCTAATTGCAGAAGCTAATGCTCCCAAAGGAGCTCTTAGCATCTGAGCGCCGATAACGCGAAGGGCCCTGTGAAAACCCTCGCCGCACGGTGCGCAAACAGCCTCCCCCACCGCGCAACATCAGCAGAGCATGCAGAGCTCCCGTCCGAAAGCGGGCGGCGTCCGGGGAGCACCTGCAGCGGCTGCGATAACTGGCCGGACCGGCCGTTGCTCGAGATTGTGTGCGGCGATCATTGATGCTGGAGTATTGCCAAGGCCATATGAAGTTGTCCACCCACGTCGTCGACAGGCCATGGACAAGGCGGCACAGCAGGTTTTTTTCAAAGACATTAAAGCACCCCAAGCAGTGGCAAACTGGCGCTCACGAGAGAGGAATTCTGCTTAGATTTAACGGTATGAAATTGAGTTGAGTTGGTCCTGACGTTGTTGTCAAGGCCAGTGTTGGAGCGGGAGAGCTTTTGCGGGTTCGGTATGCCACCTTTTTCCCGTCTAGCGTGGCCGGTCCATACCACCTACCCACCGTGCCTCCATTGCGCATGAACGACGCGGTGCCTGTCCGGAGCAGGTGGCCGTCCGAGATGTGTCGCCAGGACCCGTCTCTTGCCTGTCCCTCGCATGCTCAACGCACACTTGGTGCTCCCGTGCTCGGCGGGAGGTCCGACGAGGTAATCCCAGGGTCGCGATTCTGGGCCCGGAGAGATGGTGTCATCTCCACCATACAGAGCAGAATCTGCTCGTCCGAAAAGGCAGGTCCTTGGCAATGAGGATGCGTGCTCGTGACGGCGGACGAGGCGACGGAAGGGGACAGCGCGGGCGGCCTTTCGCGTCGCCTTGCGCGCTGGAGGCGTGCCCTTGGACGCGAGGAGGCTAGCCTCACGCGGGCGGCAGATGTGAATGGCTGCCAGCGGTGACGGAAGAGGAGTGGTGCATGGACAAGCTTTGCATCTTGGTCGTCCCGTTTACCCTGGCGGCCCTAGTGACACTAGCGCCAGCCTAGCGCCGGTGCCATGCAGGCCGGGGCGTGCCGCGGGCGGGCCAATGATAGGGCTTATCGCGCATGTGGGGATGCTGGGATCGGGCTTTGGGCGCTCTCTCGGCTGGATTGCTTGCAGCCGTGTGCAGCCGTGCTGTTGCTATTTTAAAAGGCTGCAAATTAACCCTCTTTCTTTCGCGCCTGTGATGGGCTGGATGGAACCATCACCGGGCCTCGCACGCCCGACCACTCACCTTGGCAAGCCAAATGCCCATAATTAGCTGCGACTGGGGAGCGTGCTCCTTCGAGAAATGCTCGTCTCTTCTGCTGGCCCATTGGGTACCGACGGAATATCCAATAATTCACCATCGCCCGCCGCTGCGAATGGAGGCCTCAAGTACTGACTACATCCCCACCTGACTCGAGATCACCTGAGCTGGACTACGGCTGCCCGACTCTCGAGTCTCCGCTCCAAGCCGGCTGGCGACTCGCGTCGGCCAGTTCTTATCACGGAAGCCCGTACCCTTCCCAACGTCTGGTCCAGCCGTGTGAGAGGAGGATCTAGCAGCACCTCCTCACGATAATGTCTCAAATCTGCTGAGCTAGTGGGAGTCGCATGCCGAGTACGGCCACGAGAGCAGCGGAGTGAAGCCGTCCCAGCCGACGCAGCAAGCCGTCGCAATCCTCCACAGCACGCGATGCATCTGGATTCGACATGGAGGATTTGGACCACACCGCCAGCGTGGCTTTCACGGATAGCTCATCCCTCGTAGGCTTGTGTACCTTTCTTCCCACTGTCATGGGCGCCTCAACACGCTTTCGGAAATCGAAAAGAGACGCAAGTTCATCGTTCTGAACACCCGGTAAACTCGTCGGGCCACTCAGACGGCCGCGCACTCAATCGGCGCAGGTGGTGTCGTAGTTGCGCCCTCGTTGCACCGTATGGCCCTTGTGAAGCCGAGACGCAACGTTTTTGACAGGCGAGGCAATCCTTCAACCGGTTCTCGTGCGCAGGTGGCGGAAGCCAGGCATCGCGACGTCTTGATTCGTGCTGTTTGTAAATGCCTCGTCATCTTTGCCGTGGAAGCTGAGCACGAGGAGCGAAAAAGATCAACGCCCGCATTGGCCGCCAGTCATGTGAGGGCCGTGTGGATGCCTCTGCGTGGAGCGGTTGGCTCTGGCATAGATGAAGTGGTATCCGAGCTGGAGCACAGCATGATCCGGAAGGTCGTGGAGGTGCTTCGTCGAATGGCGGTCTGGGCGCCGTCTTTGACCGTTGGGGCCGTTGCAGCAGGCTCTGCAACACGCAGCCGAAGAGGCGGCCATTGCATGCTGATGGCAATGTGATTCGCAACGTAGCACGAGAGGTGGTGGTGTTGCACACGAGGACGGAGTCTCTAGCGGCGGTCGCTTTCTCGAGGCCTCGCAGCAATGGTGAGAACCGATATCTTATCAATTGAGCAGCACGCACCGTGCGGGCTGGGGTGCAGCTGCGAACGCGGGAGTCCGCAGGCGCGACGATGGTTCCAGTCCATCAGATCATGGCATTCCTACCGGACCGACTGTTCCAATACTGTTCGCTGCATGAGGCGTGTGCTTCACGCATCTGGGCACTGTGATAGCGCAGACGGATCTCACGCTTGTGCCGGCCGTCGTCTGTCAAACCAGGATTTCGCCCACATCTCGAATCTCGCCGATCCTGCGCTAGATTCGACGTCGGGTAGGGGTCCATCCTCTGCCCCGATTAGGCTGCGAGCAGAGCGCGATCTTCTGACCGCTCCTCCCGAGCCGGCGCCGGGATACTGGACGGGGCATTCATGCGCAGGAGCAAAGAGGAGGCGGGCCAATTCGCCCGAGCAGGATTGATGAAGGGCGCTGCCGGCCACCTCGGGCCACGACGCTGCCAGCACAGGCGTGCATTCTCGAGGTGCACGATGAGTTCCAGCGCACTGTGCGTCGGTGGTGCAGCCGTCGGAACGGGCAAATGGTCGTGGTCGTGGCATCGCGATGCCATGCGGGAAGTGTCACGGCCGCGCGAAGCGAGCACGGCAACACCCTTGAATTAGCGGCCATTGTGTCCGATAGAGACGCTTTTAGTGTGCTATTAATGGAGTACAGAGAGAAACACCGCGCGAATCAGCGGCTGCACTCGCGCCGCCCTACCACCGGCCTTGTCTAACCGCCAGAACAGGGTGCGGGCGGGAATCCCCCGGCGCTGGATTGGCTGCGAGTGCTGCGGAGGGCCCAGCCTGTGGTCGCGGACTGGCTCAACGGCCCCAGCGATGTGCGCACCAGCGACTTCATGCAGCTAAACTCGAGTGTGCCCTCTCTCGCTGCCCAAGCATCCCCCAGGACGGCCCCTAGGATAGCCCATGGCTGCGCCGCTGCGTCAGCTCTACAAGAACATCGCTTGCGCCCTCGCCCGGCGAGTTCAGTTTTTTCGCTGTTTTGCTGTCTGAGCGTGCATACATACCATGATAGAGCGGTACTACGGTCATTAGTCTAAACGTCTTCGACACTCACTATACAATCGGCACTCGCCCCACAGTCATGGTAGGACCCCACCCCTCGCGCACCCAATTGCCTTGCTCACAGCGTCGCAGCAGGCCATGACCCCCATCACGCCGCTGGAGCGCAGCGAGATGTTCCAGCGAGGAAAGCTACAGCCTCTCTTTACCCAGCGCACGTCGCGGGAGCGCCCGCTATCAGAAGCCACGGAGATATTCGACACTGACGTCGACGACGATGACTCCAGCGACTTTGAGGAGTTCTCGCCCAAGTTCAGCTTCAACTCGGTAAGTGCCCGTTTTGGTGCGACTATGGAATATACTGACCTATCCAGAACGAGAGCCGGCGAAGTCAGACAACAATCTCAACGCTCGATGAAGTGCACACGCCCGAGGACCCGGAGTCCAACCGCCGGACTGTGTTCGACTTCGACGTCGAGGTCATGAAGCCAACTATCTCTGGACCCAAAGGACCGCATCTGTTCCGCGCATCCCAAGTCTCAAGTGACTTCTCCTTCGACGTGACTCTGCAATTGTCTCCTTTACTACCAAAGCAGCCGCCATCGCGAGTGGGGACTGCGTTCCGCTCTCTGTCACCCTCCACTGTCGTTCCCCAGCAAGAGTACAACAGCCTCGCCAACGCGGTAGCCCACCTTGACACCGCCGAGGTTCGATCATGGACGTCTCGCGAGGTCGCCACCTGGATGTACCAGAATGGCTTCGAGTCGGACGTCATCAGCAGGTTCGAGGCGCACGACATCACTGGCGCCGTGCTCCTCGATCTCCAGTTCGACGATCTTAAAGAGCTGGAAATCCAATCATTCGGCAAGCGACATCAGCTCTGGAACCAGCTCGACTCTCTCAGGGCTGGCGAGGGGCTAATTTCGCCCATTGCCCCTGCTCCCACCCCTTTCCAAGACATCAGCCGACCTTGCACTGGCGCTAGGGAGAGGTCAAAGAGTCGCAAGCGGTCGAAGAGCAGGAATCCGGACCGTGACTGTTCAGGAGATGAGGGTGTTACCCCTGGTGGTGCCAGGCGACGCAAGGGACGCAAGAACCGACTGATGGACGAGATCGTCACTCCCATGGAGTCGGTGTCTATTGTTGCCATCGAACAGCTGCTACCCAAGCCCCACAAGTGCGCCAAAGGAGAGCGTTGTGCCAAATGGAGAAAACAACAACGTCAGCTGGCACGGTTGCAGGAGGAACATGGCTTCCCCATCTCGCCGGAAAAGGGAGGCCACATCTTCGTCGCTGGAGATCCAGGAAACCCGCAGTCTGCTAACAAGGTCGTCGAGAACGTCTACCGTGACAATGCCTACCGTCCCACATCAGATGCCATTCCCTCAGTTGTCGCTTCATCAGATGTCCTCGGACCTGGTCAACTACCCGACTTCTCCTTGCTCCAGCACCTCGAGCAACGCGACCCACAGGACAACGTGAAGAACTTCCTGTCTCTGCAGCATCTCGACGAGCCGTACGACACATTGACACCAATCGAAGCGCCGCCAACTCCACCATTCGAGATGTTCCCATCCCGCTGTCAATCAGTCCCAGCATACCACGAACCCCAACAACCACAATCCCACCCACATCCACTCCGCCAGTCATACTTCCCAGACACTGACTTCTCTGCTCCCCCACTACATCCACCAGAGTTCACTCCGGCCCCTCACAACAACCTCAAGACCCTTCCCAAACTCAACATCCCCCGCTCGATGTCTGCAGCCCCGCAAGGCAAGCCCAGGAATGTGGTACCTGTACCCGATAGTGCCTTTTCTCCTTGCCGCACCGCATCGCCGGGTGGCGTCTACCGATTCGGTACTCCCTTCTCTGAGATGGATGTGCCCGTCACCGCCATTCCAGTGGGCCCCGTTTCCCGTGACACCAGCCAGTCGGTACCACCCGACATGCAGTACCGTGACCCGATCCAGCGCACCACATCCCGAGCCGACTGGCGCCGCCCTTCCTTCGCACTACCACCGGTCCACGAAGCCGAGCTTTTCGAACCCGCCGACCTCAGCGAAAACATCAGCTCGTCCGGCGACTCGGACACCCTGCATGAAGAGGGCTCCGACTCTGCAGCCTCGGAATGCAAGACCGTCAAGGCTAAGGCCAAGGGCGGCTTCCAGTACGACGGCGTCAACCATGCCGGCTGGATGAAGAAGCGCCGTACTAAAATGCTCCGCCATGAGTGGCAGGACCACCACGTCCGCCTCACCGGCACCCAGCTCGCCATGCACCCCAACGAGCTGCCCACGTCCAGCGCCCTGGAGCGTCTCGATGTCGACGACTACGCCGTCGGCTGCTCCTCAATCGCCTCCAACAAGCTCTCCGCTAAGCTCCGCGCCCTCCGCCTGGCTACCTCTCACCAGCAGAGCAAGCCAGACACCGCCTTCGAGTTCCAGCTCGTGCCCCAGGCGCTCCAGGACGGTAGGACCACGAAGCGCATCGTGCCGCACGGCAAAACGCATCACTTCGCCGTCAAGACGCGCGACGAGCGCATCGACTGGATGCGCGAGCTCATGCTCGCGAAAGCCCTCAAGGCCAAGGGAGACGGGTACGAGGTCAACATCAACGGTGCTGACATGTAAACGCCCCTCATCCCTCCCAAGTCAAAACCAAAATTGCATAGAGAAGAGGTCCTATCATCGACCTCGTTCATTCATTTGTGTTTCGGATCTCGAGTGCATCATATTAGCGTGTTTCATTGTTTGCGGTTTCCTTGTCCATATACCCTTCTTAGCATTGCGAAATATTTCTGTCGTTTCTTCGCTTCTACGTTTACGCTTCTTTCGAGGGTATGTGATCGGGATCAGATACTTTACGGCCTCTTTTAACGAGAATGAAGAATCGGGCGGGTTGGGGCTGTGTTTTGAAAGAAGAGTAATGGATTGGATTGGAGATTGTTCCAGCATTAAGCGGTTTTGCATAGCGATGGTAACAATTGGACGCTCATTAGGGGGAAAGGGAAGGGAAGGGATGATGTTGGGATGCATGGAATGGGACGAGGAACTGAGATATTTATATAGGATATGTAGCTAGAAACGAAAGCTATGATAAGAAACTATGCTCTACCGATCCCGTCTTCAGCTGTGCTTGGAGTGTTGTATGCTCTGACGCTAGCCGTCGTTAGTGTTTGACAGCCTTGCCGAGCTTCATGAAAACCGCTCGACGTCGTGGAACAATGCAGTGACCATGAGCGGCAATGTGGCTGTGCCGCACTGCTGCCTTCCATTTCAACCTTGCTTATGGTATCGCCAACTCAGCTCCCACGACGAACTCGCTGAGATGGATTGTGTCTCCAACATCTCTCCTACTCAACGCTCATACCATACAGCTTGAAGCTCATATCCACCTGAAACTGGACTTGGGCATTTAGCTTGTAAGGACACGAGGGGAGGGGCCGGACCGGACGTCAATCCTCACATTGCTTTCAGCCTTTCCTGGGTTCCTAAGTTTTCCTGGGCCCCTAAACGCATACTTCCCAGGCAAGAGAACCATCAACAGCCATGGCCGAGCAGAATGACAAGACCCTCTGGACTGCCAAGAGGCTGGTTAGGAAGATCCAGGAGAGTGCTGTTATCAATCACCGGCAGTCGGCACGGCCTTCTCAGGTTAGCCACTTCAACCGTAACATCTGTCACTAAGAAATACTAAACACTCTTCAGACATCGAAACCTCCTGTGAAGTTCGAGAAAAGTTCATCCTCAGATGCTCCGACTAGCCTCGTGTCTTTCCAGTCGGGTCCCACGTCTGATCAACCACATCAGACAACTAAAGATGCTGTGTATATATGCGATTGGTGTCACCTGATTGACTTTCAGAAAGTTCTAGAGCTGGATGCAGAATTACTTCAGGCCCCCCCAACTAATCGAAATGGCATTTTCATTGCCGAACTTCCACTACCGAAGAATGGTTGTGAGCTCTGCAATTTCTAGTTATCATTGATCCCTGAACAAGACGCGCACGTCACACCTAAACAGCTCTATGCAGTATCTTTCGTTAAATACCATAAAGGGCCTTTGGGTAGTGTGGATCGACCTTTGCTTGCGGTTACCACAAAACATTCCCGACATCATTTCGGACGCCATAACGGCTGCTAAAGCTCTTGGTTACAAGTGGCTATGGGTGGACAAATACTGTATTGACCAAAATGACCCGGGCGATAAGCACCATCAAATCAACCAGATGGATGCAATATATGCAGGAGCGGATCTTACCATCGTCGCCGCTCTCGGGGACAGATTACCTGGGGTGGGAAAGACGCCAAGAAAACGCCAGCCAGTCGTAAGGATTGGAAACACTGCAGTAGTTTCTTCTATGGGTCACCCACATGAAACTATAAGGTCTTCAAAGTGGTCTACGAGGGGGTGGACATATCAAGAAGCCGTACTGTCACTACGATGTTTAGTTTTCACGGACGAACAGCTATATTTCGAATGCAGGTTTAGGCATTTTTACGAAGCTAAGTCACACGGTTACCTCGGCATGATTTCGAACGAAGAATGGGAAGCAAAGACGAAGCTACCCCAGCGCACAGGCTTATTTTCAGGCGGCCGCGATTTTACGGACCTCTAATCCCCTGTCCCAAAATCATTGGAATTTCAGTCACATATCGAGGAGTATTCTAAGCGAGTGTTGAGCTATGAAGAAGACTCGCTCAGGGCATTTGTAGGGATTGCGAGATACTATGAGAGGTCTCCGGAAATGCGTGAGTTTGGCGTGCATCATCTGTGGGGAGTTCCCTTTCTAAGCGGACTTTCAGCGAAAGAGAATGCTTATACGTCTCTCCTGTCTGGATTACTATGGACAAACTATCAAGGACTAGGGACTAGACCAAATCGTAGATCAGATTTTCCCTCGTGGTCATGGACCTCATGGAGTGGTCCTCGCGGTTTCCACATCCGCTCAGTGCCCGATTTTGAATCCCTCTCTTCTCATATCAAAGATGTCTATCTAGAATGCCAGCCAGGCTGTCTTACGGAATTCAGCCACTTTCTCCATACAACCTCGAGTCTAGATTTTCCCCACCCTCGTGTACTTCACACGGACTTACTGGTCTACCACCCTAATACTTCTTTTACGAAAGGATCTTCTTTTATAGAATTCATGCTCTTTAGCAAATTCTCAGCAGGGTATTTCCCATTGCGGGATCCGACTAATGGCAAAGACATCACGGATGCGTTTAGTGAAGGAAAGTGTCAGCTATTACTGCTCGGAAGCTGCGAATTAGATTCATGGATCTTCCTCATGGCTGTCGAGACCGAGGGAGATTTTGCGTCCCGAATAGGTTTTATGGTTGTAGAGACAACCATCGGAAAATTCAAGGAGGTGGTACGATTGCAGCAACGAAGAGTTCGTCTCATATGACGGTTTCCAGCAAATTCCCTATCCACCGCCCGGATACTGCACCCGACAGGACTCCTTGCGCCGAGAGGATAACGAAGAGGCGCTCTGAAACCGTAGCTATTTCTGAAAAGCCACCGCCCTCACGCAAGCCTCGTTCAAACCACCACGACTCGACCTCGCCAGCTCTAGACCTTAGCACAAGTACCCACAACAGCGTCTGTTTCGTTGCCTCAACCAGCATCACATTACCTCAGGCGTCATATAAGGAACTAGCTGCACCCAAGCACTCTCAATCTTAACGTCTTCCCCCCTTCGATCCCCGCAACGATAACATCATTGCCACCCTACGCCCCACCAGCCTCTCTCTCACAGGCTTCGCCCTCCGCCGCAACGGCACCTGATACCTCTCCGCCCTGGAGCACGTTTGCAGCGTCTCCTACCTGCCTATGCACGCCTGCTTCCCTTCCCCGCCCACTCCCGTCTACAACGTCAATTACTACCGCACGCCGGACCAGAACTATCCGCAGCGCATCCTGGACACGGGAACCTACTGCACTAGCGTAAATTCGGCGTTGTACGACAACAGTGGCCACTCCTCGTGCGCGCCGGACGAGGTATGGGTGGATGGGATAGATGACGGAGGCCGAGGTATGAATTTGGCGAAAGAAGATACCTAGCTGGGGCTAAGGAAGGCGAAGCGCTTCGTACGATGCCTTTACCTAAACTCTAGCGCATACACACTCGCCCACTATCGTTTTGAAGCGCTCCGGCGTGCTCTTAAAAACCATCGGTAACATTTTAAAAGTCCTTGAGAGCTTAGATCAGAGAAGTTCTCATACGCTTATAATCCGCCTACCTGCGCCACTGTTTGTGGTGCTTCAGCACATCATCAAAGATCCGGAAGAGATGGAGAAGACGGCGTGGGCCAAACCTGTGTTCTACCTAGTTCGTGTGTGGGTTTTTTTCCAAGGTTTCGCTGCTTTGTCAATTTTTGGGTTTTTGGTGTGGACTATCAGCATCCAGTTGTACATACCAGAGTTGGAGGGCGAAGAACGGGCTCGTAATGATGAGTTACGGGAATGTCGAGGTTGGTAGTATGGCCCCTTTTGATGATTCGGGGGAGGATCTCGTTCATGTAGTGGTTTGCACCCGGCTCTACTTCTTGATTTCCATGACTATACATCGCCATCACCCTTTAATCGCCCTCGCAAATGCAAGTACAGTGACTGGATACAGGGTTGTGCACTCACTCACACTCACCATTATGCAATCGAAAAAGGATGTGAGGGTCAAGACATCGCAGGTTAGCGCGGTCCCAAACGCTTAGAAATGTCTTGTTACTCCATTTCGTCCTGGGTAGTTAGCATATCATGAGAAATCTAGAAGAGAGGTTGTGACCTACGGCAAAAGAGAGCAGCATAAGCTTATGTCCTACTGGGAGCGTAAGAAGTTGCTTTAGAGCTCGCATTAGTTGCTCAATCACTTCGATCACATCAAATCATGCGTCAGGATAGCAGTTCCCAGAAATTCTCAAACACCTTCACATTCGCACCCCATCTACTCAAACACAACAAACACCATCGCTATCCATTGACCCGACCAAAAAAAGAGCCAGATGATATCACTCGCCAAGCTCCGCTAAAAGAGGCTACAATGATATACATTAAGAGGATCCCATCCCTTCCCCAAAATCGGACTCCCTCAATGACCACACCTTTTCAAAGCCCAAATTTCTCCCACCGCACTCACTCTTTCACACTCGTTCCTCGCCGACTACCGCCAATCTGCAAACACCATCCAAGCATGTTCGACTAGTCATCCATAGGCTTGTCCTCCAACTGCACGCCCCTCTCGATCGGCTTCCGCGACAGCCCCGCTGTGCCGTTGGGTTTGTTCCCGTCAACCACTGGGGTCGCATCCGCGCCTCCAGGCACCTCGAGCGAGTTACGCGCCGCGCCGCCAGTGCCTCTCCGCTCCGTAGGCGAAGCGGTGGACGTGGCGACCGGGAAACGAGTCTCCGGGCCTCCTGAACTTCGGTCGCGACGATGAGATCGTGGCGACGGAGCCGGAGACGCAGCACGGGAGCGGTTGGCGGCTATAGCGCGCTGACGCTCCTCCATGTGTGCGCGCCTGTTGCTTTCATCAGTGCTGATGGCACGCGGTCGATTCGCGCCAGATGAGGAGTGGGTCAGCGTGCTGGCTCTCTTCAGCTCGCCAAAGATGGCGTCCTTGTGGGCGAAGAGATCGCGAATTAGGCGGTAGGCGTAGCGCTCGTTCATCGTCAAGCTGGATTCTTGGCGTGGGCGGAGGATGCATGGCGCCAGTGTCTGTGCCAGAGCAGCGATGTACTGTTCGTCTGCCGAAGTGAGCTCGATTAGACGGGTGAAGTGTGTCGTAATAGCATCGAGGGTGGCAATATTGGCTAGGCGAAGTTGGCCAAGAGTGGATTGGATGACTGATATACGTGTCTCCTCGCTTGCGTCGGTTGCCGTGGTGCTGTAGATCGTTTTAATGATTTCGTAGACGTGCGAAGAAACCAAAGAATCTAGAACATGTCAGCGTCTAAGTCATGGCGCAATTGCTTCGAGGATATTTTACCTGGGAGCTCTAGAAGGTACAGTTTCAGTACACTAGCCACGACGGGAACCTCGAATTTATCAAAGGCATCTTGCGGGATCGATTTCCCGGTGTTTATTGCCGCTCGGAGCGCGTGTGTTGCTGCTAGAGGAACATCGACCAGCCATATTCCTCGTCGTGCTTCGTCGCCTTCGAGATCTGGGTAATCTACGACATAGTGAGCGGAGAGTCTTGAAGTAGGCCTTCATAAACTTACGATTATCGAGGAATGTGAGCACAGTAGTCACGATGATAGGGACACGTTTCCTGTCGGACCTAGCCCGCGCCTCAAGATCCACACCGAAAGTTTGCTCTGTGCATTTGTTAGCGGGAAATCAAGACACGACTAAAGTGTCTCTTACCATCGACAGAGTTGTAGTAATTCTCATATGTCTGCACCCTAGGAACGAACTGGCCGGTCCTGTAATTTTCAAGGAGGTATCTCAAATCGCCCAGAGGCTGCACCGTCTCCTGGAAAAGCATCATGTTGTCAACCGTGCTCTGCAAGCTCGGAATAACATTGCTGATGGCACCTGAGAAGTCTAGAATGACGGACTTGATCGCCTTTAGTCGGTCCAATTCGCATCGCTCCATGAACTTCAAATGATCAACCATTGCTTCTTCTAGGTTGCAGCGCAGAGAGTCCAATTTTCGCACAGATGCCTTGTACCGATCGTCAGACTCTCTCGCCTCTCGTCGAAGCTTCTCGGCTGGGGTTTCGTTCGGGTACGGGTTGTTCAAGGGGTTCCACCCAGCCAAGTACTCTCCCACAGCTCCAACTGGGGAATCAACGCTTTCCGAAGACATAGTGGTAGAGGAACGAACAAGTGGCTGTTTCTTTTCAGGGATGCCGGTGATTTGGAACACAATCGGCTTCCACTGATAGTTCATCCGCGTGCTGTTGGCGAAGGTGTTGCCCACGTTGCCCACGAGCCTCAGGAAGTTGTTGTTCACCATATCCTGTCCGATTCTCTCGGCATAGCTGACACTAGAGGCGTTCATGTGCTTCTGGATATATTCCGTGATGTCGGCACCGCTGGACACATTCTGGTAGGTACCCAAGATTGGAACCCTGGTCTCTCCGATTTTGATGTTCTCCAGCATATGAGTGAGTATCCGCTTGACCTGCTCTGGCTGATATGTTTCGTCGCCAATATCGATTGGCTCCTGCTCAGCCTCATCCGGCTCTGACATCTTGATGGTGGGGATGTTCTTGATCTTCGGGCTCGTGGCCGATTCGCTCTGAGGATCCTGGAATGCAAGCTTATCTTCCTCTTCAATGTCCTCCACCAGTCTGCACTTGTTGTAGTATTGAGAGCGGAACTTGCGAACAGCATCTGCCTGCTTGTCGTGTATCTTGATTCGCGATTGGAGGTCGTCTTGGGAATTTTGCACCCGAGCAGCGTGTGCCTCGCACCAGCGACTGAAAGGGTTCACGACTAGCTCTCTGATATTGGAAGCGATCTTGCGATGGCTGTTCGCTGCTGCGTCCATCTCGCCGCGCACGCCTTCGTAAGCCTGTCCGGGGTCAGTCGCAACGTTTCCAGAGCCGTGTATAGACCTCTCACCTTCCGTGTACTTGCGCCCTCATCGCTACTGAATCCACCAGGGATGCGGTCTGTTGCTGGGCCAATCGTAGCCAGGCTCTGTCCATAGGTGTCTTCAGCGTCAGCGCGCAGGCGGGCTATATTGAGGATCTGCTGGTTTTCCTGCACGCCCTGCTGGAGCTTCCCGAATAGAACGCCCAAGCCTAGACAAGTCAGCGTAGTTCTGGAAGATATTTCGATAGTCCATACCGCCAGCATAGTCGCTAGACCAAAAGGATGTTGCGAAGCCAGCCATATTGTGGAATGCAGAGGGCCGCCAATCCAGACAACGTGGTCTAGGGTTAGAGTGCAAAGGGGGCAGCTTATGCCAGAGAAAAGTAGGGGTAGGTAATGAGCGTGAGACCTAGGCGTCTGGGGCGTCAATACGGGAGCAGATGGGGCTGCTGATCGGGTGGGCGACAGGTGGCCGTGAACGTGCGCGGGCGTTACACTGGGCGCGCAGCAGATGTCGGATGCTGGCGCTGTGAAAGATGAAGAGTGAAGAAGTCTGGAGGAGAGAGCGGGTAGCTCAGCCTCAGCCGGTGACAGGAGTAGCATTCAGCTGCCTCTCTCTTGGGGAAGGAGGTGCCTGTCAGCCTTGGCGATTTTCAGAGTCCAGGCGTCCTTTGGTCCCACCACGTCGCCTGGTCGCAATGTCTCAACTATAGAAATAGCCACATCAGCACTATCCACCGCTGAGCAACACACTTCACGATACTGGCAGCATGGCCCACGATCCGCCCCCGTCAGCTGCTTCCCTGCTCACCGGCGAGGAGAGCGTGCTGAACCACACGCGACACATTAACTATTGGAGACGCTGCTTGAAGACGTTCCTCCCGTGGCAGTACACCTCCAACGACTCAAATCGCATGAGCTTGGCGTTTTTCATCGTGTCTGCACTAGACCTGCTCGGGAACTTGGACAGCGGCATCTCTGCCGAGGAGCGGCAGGGCTTCATCGACTGGGTATATCACTGCCAGCATCCTGATGGAGGCTTCCGAGCTTTCCCAGGCACCGATTTAGGCGAGCTCAGGAACGAAGAGAACAAGATCTGGGATCCGGCAAATGTGCCTGCGACCTTCTTCGCGCTGGGACTCCTCATAGTCCTTGGAGACGACCTTCAAAAGGTGAAGAGACGGGAATGCCTAATGTGGTTGACCAAGATGCAGAGGTCGGAAGGAGGCTTCGGGGAAACACTCGGGGAGGATGGCCGAATCGAAGGAGGGAACGACACAAGATTTGGATACACTGGTTCTGGCATACGCTACATGTTGAGGGGATATATCACCGGTCCTGTCGACGGAGTGCCCGACATCGACGTGGACAAGCTAGTGCAATGTATAAATATATCAGAGGTACGATATCGAAATCGACCTGCTCTATTTTTCCACTCTATCTGACCAATGTGCAGTCCTATGATGGTGGCATATCTGAAGCGCCCTTTCATGAAGCTCATGGTGTGCTATGCCCACTTCCTCCCCCACCATTCTCTACTGACAAACACCAAGCTGGCTTCACTCATTGTGCCATATCCGCTCTGTATTTCCTAGGCCGCCTTCCGGAATCTTCGTTGCCGAGTGGCCCTCGACACGACGACGTGATTCGGGGCATAACCAACCTTCCGCTTACTCTGCATTGGTTGGCTTCACGCCAAACTGCCATATTAGATGAAGAAGACCTGTATGACTCTGCGGAAGACGAATTAGAAGCTGCGCACACACAAACAAACTCATCATTCGTCAAATTATCTAGCTTCCCCCTCAAACCGCGCGAAGTACCTCAGCAAGATACCTGGCCTCTGCCACACTCTCTCCAATGGGCAGGAATGAACGGACGATGTAATAAGATAGCAGACACATGTTACGCTTTCTGGGTTACCGGAGCATTGACTGTAGGTACTCAATCCTTCTCGGCCGCTTCGCCACTCACCAAGCTTTTAGGTACTCGGTCATTTAAATATCATCGATCGCGCTTCTTTGCGTCGCTATCTATTGGACAAGACACAGCACATAGTAGGGGGGTTTGGCAAAGTAGCCGGAGACCCACCTGACCTCTATCACGCATACCTCGGGCTGGCTACATTGGCCATTATGGGAGAATCCGGAGTCAAAAGTTTCCACACTCCTTTGTGTTTCAGTCAAGACGCAAATGACCGTCTTGAAGCGTTAGAATGGAGGAAGAAGTTGATCGGAGATTGGCAAACGGAGTCGCTCAAAAATTAAAAGGGCTAACATGACCCTTTTCCACTTATGCTTACCTCGATAAGAGCCTGGAGCTGAGGAGCTAGCTCCATTGACTCTAGCTGAGCCATCGCTGCAATCCGCGAGCTGCAAAACGCAACATACTTTCCGCAGCGTGCTGGACATACGGGGCTACCTCATACAGCGTCATCATCATGGAAACGACATGTCTAAAATGAAAGGTCAAGCTAAACAAAGGAAATAATTCTACCATTATTTGTTCCCGGGAAAACTAACGTCTGAATAGAGCGTCAGATTACGGAATCAGATCTGACCTTCGGGGGTCGTCGCACCAATCAAACACGTCGTCGAACTGGTTGCTTCCAGAACCTCATTCACATGGTTACCAGGTAATCTAGCATATCAACCACCTATATCAGAGCTATCCTATCAGTGTGAATACAAATGACTGAACTGTTTTGACGTGGCTCGATGTGCTTTAGTGTAGAAAAAAGCTCCCTGCGCAATGCTAACGTTTACAACGTGAATAGGCCGTCCCTGCTATCGACCTGTCGTTCAGACCCTTTCCAATCAATAAAAGCTTCGGAGTCGAGTAGCCAGGGGCGCCTTGAGGCGATAACAGTTAGTGCAGCGGCGCAAGCTAATTGTGGTGAAATGCTTCACTCTACTAAGGCTACGCCTCGTGTTGGACCCCTGCACTACGCGATGCGGACGCGGAGCAGAAGTGATTCACTATCTATCAAGAAACTCTGAACATTCACCAGAACAACAGCGCTGCGCGATCGAGACCCTCACACTTCTACCTATAAAGATGGACTTCTTGCACAGCTTTCCAGCCGCCGCACCACACACTCACCCACCCACCCACCAACCTACCAACCTACCACCTCGCATTTTCGCAGCCTCGCAACCAACTCACCTCCTAGAAACTACCAATAGAAACTCTCAGGATGCCTGCATGGCCTAAGCTCCCGACAGAGCTGCACACCGGTGCCTACGTCCTGTACAAGCAGGGGACTGCCTGGGCCATCAGTTGGCTTCAGAAAAACTCCAATGCCACAAACAACGACGAGGCACCAGCAAAGCCCACCACTCGAGAGCTTCTAAAACAAGCCGAGGCCATTGCAAAGGCAGCCAACCGACCCCCCGACGTCATAGACTTCTGCAATCGTGTACAAGATGTAATCACTTGGAGGAAAAAGGTCACGGATTGGTACGTCGCGAACACCCTTGGTGATGCGCAGCACGACTTCTTCACGGGCCGGCTAGAAGACATCCTCTTCGTCGTCGAGGAGAAGGTGAAGGGTACAAAGAGTGATGTAAAGCGGAGGAAGAGTAAGAAGAAGACGGTTGAGCAGAACGACGACGCCAAACGTACGCTCAATTTGTACGGCATTTTAGCAGAAGATCCTGCAGACAGCGTGGCGAACGATGGTTCTGACGACGAAGCAACTACGACGTCCACTTCGAAATCGACCCCTAGGTCTGCGACGAACAACATGGACGCAGCCGCTGAGGCTGTCTCAGAGCTCCGCTTTGCTACCATGTGCTTCTTATATGACCTATCGCTAGCTCGTCAATCAGTACGAAAGGTCTGGCAGGCTTACAAAGATCACGAAGTGGACCTGGTTACAGCTTCTGTTACGACAAATGTTGCTATAGGTACTATCAAGCGATCTGTCGCAATCTGGGACAATGCCGTTAAGGACATCTTGCCATGTCGGCCAGGGGAGTTTTTCAGCGTGACGGCCGCGATGGATCACTTTTACACGTCAATCAGCGTCAGCACAGGCCACGCGCCGTACGATCCAAAGAGGGGCCTTGATCAGTTTGGTCCAGATATGCATCGCACCGCAAATCTGCTCTGTCTACCTGCCATTATTCAGCTGGACTTTCACCGTCGAGCCATCTCTAAGCGGTCCGATCCGGACTCACAACTCTCTGCTCTAAACACCCGCAAAGAATTGGAGGTGCAGAATATACTTTCTGATTTCGGCCTGTTCGGGGCGCTTAGAGTCAAGGCTCCGGCTCTGGACGAACTAACGCGATTCGAGTCGCTCCTGACCAAGGCACCAAATTCCAAAAGCCAATGGGTCTCATTTGCATTTCAGGTCTACTTAGACATCTACGAATGCCTAGGAGACGGCATCAGAGACGGGCTGAAGGATTTAGTCGAGGGGGGACACGATATCGAGAATATGATTGACACCCATATCATAGATGAAGGGGTCATGCAGGTACAGGGTACGAGGCTGGAGTACATGCTCGTACAACAGCCAGACTTCTCTGCCCGCTTCAACGAGGTCTCGTCCTATATCACTCGCTGGGTAGATGACGATGCGGTTGGCGAAGCTATCAAGCATATGGGCGTAACAAACTCGCCCTTGGAACCCTTCTTTTTCCTTGGACACCACCCACTCCTGTGCGGGATGTTCCTCCACACGATCCGACGCCTTACACAGGAGGTGAGTATCAGTCACACTCGGTGGCTGATCGCCGCGGTAGCCCATCTCTACAACGCCGCGAGGCAGGTTGGTGGTCTCGAGATCCCCTGGAAGGATCTTGATTATGTCATCGATCATCATTCTGCAAAGCGTATATTTGTGGGTGCTGCACCAACATCCGCTGATCTATTTTGGATCCGGCGCCGCTTGGCATTTGGCGAGAAGTTAGCCAACTTTGCCCCTCATCGTCATGGAGACCGAAAACACGATACGACGAACCGTGGCCTAATCTTACGCTCACCGCTTCAAGATTTGATCTGGAAGCAGCAGCGGGACACTAAGGACCACGGGTGGTTAACGCTTCACCATCTTCTGGAGCATCTCACCCATAATGATGCCGGAGCTCACGATGTGCCTGATTTGGACAACGACCTTCAGCACACTGTCCAGAGTATCCCGGATGTCTCAAGAGATGAGACTCCACCGGCTAATACGCAGCCAGCTGGCACGCAGTTAGCCGATGACGCTCCAAAGCTGTCAAAAGCACAGAAGAAACGCCAGAAGCAAAAGGCCAAGAAAGCTGAGCAAGCTGCTGGGAAACAGAAGCCCGAAGTTACGGGGAAGGCCCTTTTGGAGACAATATCAACCTCCAACATTGAAACAGCGGAGCGAGGCCTGACCCCTCAACTCTCCACCCTCCGAGAGCTCCTCGCGGCAGATGAACTTCACTCCCACTTCGACTACCTTTCGCTATCGCGCCGCTGCATGACCCTCCTCCAGCGCCTCCGGACGGAAATCTATGAAAATGAAGTCACTGATGTGGTGGCCATAGACGATGAGGTCGAGCTGCCAAGTAATCTAGACCTCATCGACAGACTGTTCCTAGAGTTGAGGGACAAGCCGAAGGACCTTGTGAAGATCACGCGCGTGGGTGATATTTTCAGGGACTTCATTAAGAAAGAGGGAGACATGGAGCTGGAAGAGGCGACGGAGCGGAAAGAGTCGAGGTCTTTGGTGTGGGAAACTGCGCTTGAGTATCCCGAGGGTCAAGAACCCGAGCACGATCCGGAAGAGAAAAAAGAGGCTCAAGCCTCCGAGGCCCCTCAGGATGAAGACGTCAAGCAAGAGGTAGACGAAAAACCCACCGCGCCATCCATCGACTCGCTTCAGCCCGACCACCCGGAGCACGAGCCGGAGCAGCAACATCCTGTTCAGCCCCATGAGGTCCCTCATACGCCCAGCCACGAGGAGCGAACGAGCTCTGACAACGACTCAGATGACGGGGAGGAGCAATGGGTCGATGCGGAGGAGTCACTCGAAGAACAGACGGCCACGGAGGCGGGCGAGGCCGCTGCTGGTGAGCCTTTGCCCATGGACGCTTGGCAGGAGTTTTGCAACAAGGGGTTGATCAATGAGCATCGGTACAGCGTTACACTGGATCAACTAGCTCTAGCACTATTTCGGTAAGCCTCAGGATGTTTAGTTACTACACTTGAGGATGGCGGATAGTTCGATGCCGAAGGTAGCCTTGGAGATAGAGCACCAGGCCACAAGCCTGGGCATGAGGAATTGTAACTGATCTGGCTCCACTCTTGCTCGCTTGACACTACTGTGAGGAGCAGCCCGACTAGCGGGCAGTCGGTCTGTCATAAGGTAACCTAGTTTCCACTGCATTGACCTTTACATCATAGTCAGGATTTTGAAAGCCCTTGGAGGCACTCCAAGCAGTGGCTAGCGAGAGCGCCCAGGCTTATGCCTTGTGCTGTAGCCTTAGCTTCAATTAATAGGTATGAATTCCGTAGCTTCACCAACCGCTTGTAAACTACAATTGTTAGCGCACACCTGGCGAATCGTAGAGAGTATTAGAGCTGCCCTTTCAATTTGAGTATGAATGAAAACCTAGTGCTTGGAAGCTTGAAGAAAGGCCCTCTTCAAGTAGTAACCCAGCCATTCCCATCCTCCCCCTCGCACGACGAATCCATCTTTTCCACATACTCCGGCAACCTCTTCATCACCCAACCCGAAGTAATCTCAGGCATTTGCGAATCGTCCCAAGTCTCCCCCTTTTCCCTCTCATAGCCCAACGTCAACCCACCCGAGATATCGCACCTCCCCACCGCATACGCGTACTGCCGACAGCTCGCCAAACTCTCGCAAAGCGCCCTGCACTGCGAAAACGAAAAATACGCCTCCTGCTCTTCCTGCTCCAGATTCCACCACTCCTTATACGTCAGCTGCCGAAACACCTCCTCGCTATACTCCGTCCTCCACCCCACCATATTGTCCCACCCGCGCCGCACCGCCGGGATCTGCGGGAGCACAAGCCCCTTGAACACATCCCGATGCCGCAGCACCCGCCCCGACCCCTCATGTCGCCGATCCCACTCCTGCTCGAACTCCCACAACGCGCGCCGCTCCTCCGGCCGCATGTGGCCGTACGACACCGGCGCGTAGCACCACGGCCGCCTGCCGATCTGCGTAGCATTGAGATCTAACCCTGGTGGCGCAGCGCCCTGGAAATGCGGGAACGCGCTGAACAGCTCCACGCCCACGTCTTTTAGGGCTTGGTACAGCAAGACATCCGCCCCCCATTCGCTCTCGATGAGCTTTTCGAAGCTCTTGCGGTGCGCGCGGACGTGTGCGAGCATTTTGCGGACCGCGGGCGCGGAGAGCGCGTACCCGGCGCCGCTGTTGGCGAAGACCTGCGGCCGCGTGCCGCGGTGCGCGCGCTGGGTGATGTACCAGGGCTTGCGGGCGTCGAAGCGGGCGAGGTAGGCGAGGAGGTTGGGCCAGACGATGTAGGTGTCGAGGTCGATAAAGACGAACCATTTTGCCGTGGGGCGGCGGTGGAGGACGTCGTGGAGGGTGGGGATGGTTTTCCACTTGGCGAGGGTACGGGCGGAGGTGGTGTTTAGGGGGGTGGTGGTGTTTAGGCCGGCTCGTCCGTGGGCGTGGAGGTGGTTGTGGAGGGCGAACTCGGGGCGGGGGGAGTTGAGGATGTTGGGGAGGGAGGAGAGGGCGTCGTGGATGGGGATGCCGGCGAGGGATTCGGCGTGGTCGGAGTAGATGAGGTAGTTGGGGACGCAGCGGAGGGTTGTTTCGAGGTGGACGGGGAGGTTTGAGAGGACTTCCGTGGCGGTTGTTTTGAGGACGAGCTGGACGTCATTGGAAAGGGGGGAGATTGGGCAGTAGAGGCTGGAGGGGGAGGAAGAAGACGAGGGAGTTGTAAGACGGCTGAGGCAGAAATAGAGTGGTGGTACACAACAGGCGAGTACGATGAGGAGTTTGGGGATCCAGCTGAAACCCGATGGAATCAACATGATGATGGAAACGCCCAATGCCTAGGTAAGAGTGACGCTTGAAAGTAACTTGATCGTGGCCGTCGGAACAGGTGTTCACTTTGCACGTCGTTGCAAGTACGGTAGCGAAGACGAGTCGACCCAAAGAACTGCACGATTCTGTGAAGTTCTAGAGCGCCAGTAACGATAATGATAGACAACGAATGTATAATAAGGACTGACGCATTCTAAGCATGGTCTGTTGTGATGTTTGGGGTTTGAGGGCATGCTGCGTGTGAAGAGAAAGGGAGGAGAGCATGACGACGGTAGAAGGGACGAAGGGACCTTCAGTGCGAAGAAAGTATATTCGAGACAACTCATCCTGTAACGAAGCCCTCGTTTGAGCCCTTTTTGACAAGCGGCTGTTCCTCCGTTCGCTCGTAAATATGTACTAGGACTTGTTGAAAATGAGTGATTCTTAGATTAGAGTAGTGACTCTGTTGAAATATTCGAGAGCATCAGATGGGGCATGACACCCGAAATTTCGCGCTCGCTCGGAACGGAATATTAGTACTATCAGAGCGGTGGTCTCTTGTAAGCTCCTGGACACGGCATTCGATTTCGATGCGAGATACAGCAGTCCTTCAGATTGGGAGGATTAAGATTTGGGCCCCGTTGGACTAAATTCAAGGATGCGTTGAATAGCCCCACTACTTCTTACCGTATGATCGGAGCTTGATGAGTTGGAAAGAGGACAGTTATAGAGAGTTCAATACATGATGGGTCAGGATATTTAATGTTAAAAAAGCAAACGTGACGAGGTGAACCTGTCGCGCTAAGGGTCCCTTGGCCCTAGCCCAAGCCATCTTCCAAGTCGCGTCGTTCGAGCACCAAACGCCTACCACCAAAGTACAATCCAATCGCCATGACACACAAGAAACCTTCGCCCTTCAGGGTCTCGAAAACCTACTCTCCGCGCTGCTCTCGCGCACCACAGGAACGGCTTGTGTTTTCTACGCGGTGGGTACACTAGCAATTGTGACTTCTGCTAACGTCCGTCAAGTAGGATGTACGGCACGGACATGGTGACCATACATACGAGCTCCAAATCGGAATCATTCTGTGTTCATCGCGGCCTTATAACTTACTGGTCGCCCTACTTCCGCAACGCGTTCAATGGTTCTTTCAAGGAGGCAGAAGAGAAAGAGATAACCCTTGAGGACGTGGAACCTTCGATTTTCAAAACTTTCATGGCGTGGATGTATTCCCAGAACATAGTACTAGATAAGCCCATTGTTAAGCTACCGGAGCCAGAGCCAGAGAACACGGCATATGGGGATTCGGATCAAACGCTAGTAGAGAAGCTAGCTGAGAAGGAGCTCTCGACATTGTTCTTCAAGCGACGAGAATGTGCCGATGCTAAAGTACGGAAAACGGCCGTCGGTGACGGTGAAGATCAATATTCTTAACGCCTCAAGACATTGCTGACTTGGACCTCTGCAGTCGACCTTGTTAAAGGAATGATGAAAGTATTAAGGAGTAGGTATACAACTGGCGGTGATTGTACCGAAAATCTGAGACTCTTATCAGAAATGTTGGGTGGAGTCAAAGCAATGACGGATGTTCATTATACACTTGCTTCATCCTCTGGTCTTTTCGAGGCACTCCAAGAGATCACGGATGCCCCAGAGAAGATGATGTCCACACCCGAGGGTAAAGCGTGTAAGGTGGATGCAAATCTCTTGCTACTTGAATGGAATGCAATTAAGCAGTAAACGCAAAGTTGCACACTTCTACTACATATAGACTAATCTGCCATAGGAAAGCTCGTGGAGAGACAGCTGTGCTGTATTCTACCCTCGTAGACCTATATATTTTCGCTGATGAGTACGATATCAAGCAGCTTCGAATCGACGTCATCGAAATGATCCACTCGGCAAATACCAACTGTAAACATTTTATCCCGGATATCCGTGCTGTTAGCAAAGCCCTTCACAATCTGCCACCAACATCTGGTCTTTATAGATACCTTGTCAACGTTTACGTGGGGGATTGGGACGGCAGGTATTCCGGGGATCAAGCGGCGACCTTTCTTGTAGTAGAGCAGCTCTTCCCAAAGTCCGTGCTGGCTGAGATTATGATGCGGAGGTCTGCTGAACTGCACCAATCTCCCGGACGCACGAATCCCCAGCCGTACAGTGACAATCTCTGCTCATATCACGATCACCGTTCATAGGAGACCTCAAATCCTTCCTCGACCAAAAAGAACAGCAGACCGTGTATGCAGGAGAAGTCCATGTAATAGACGAACTAGACGCGTTCCTTTTAGATCATAAAGATCCTTATAATATCTGGAGCTTCTGCATCAAAGACTGGATTCGTTGGCAACAATGAAACACGTACCGATTGCAATCATTCAGGCCCTGGACTCGATGCCAGCCTTCCATTCTATCGCGACAGCCAATGCGGACATGGACCCAGAGCCTATAGGCCGCAACATTCGAGAACGTGCCAAGAGGTGTATTTGAGATTGCACAAAGCCATGTACGTAGTAATGGCAATTTGTCTCTTTTATCAAATCTGATCTAGTCTAGGACAACTCGCGATGAAGATGACGGAGATAACACCGCGTCGCAACAATTCGGCTACTCTACACTTGTAGATATATATGTCTTTGCCGATAGATACGACACACAGCAGCTCTGTAGGGATGTAATCGATAGAGCGCACCTCAAGAACACCTACTGCCCAGATTCCATTCCCTGCATTAATGCTGTTCTTAAGGCGCTCAAGAATCTGCCCAATGGGTCCGGGCTCTCCAGATACTTCTTCGACGTTTGCGTAGGCGAGTGGAACGGGGCAAGCTATATCGAGGGGGTTACATGCTGATATCAGCAACCTAATCTCCAAGGGTCTACTATCGAGTGTCGTGACCAGGAGATCTGCGGAACTGTTTCTCGATACAAAGCTCACCCCCCTGCCGTACGAAACCAATATCTGCTCTTATCATGAGCATTCTCCAAAGGATAATCTAAAATCGATGGCTGCGACAACGAACTCATAAAAAACCAAACGCGTTTCACACGATTCGCAATCGAAGCGAAATCTGAAATGATTCGACTCAGGGCAAGACCTGCAGTGGGATTGGTGGTCCGAGCTAATATTTGCCAAAACACGTACTGGCGGCATCAAATTTTTGCCTTCGAGCCGATGTATCTAGAAGTTGCGCGCCTCCTGAGACGTGCTGCTCGGTTCAACCAAGCGGCAAGCGTTGCAGCTTCATCTGTATACTAGACTTCCATGCTCATTCAAAGGCGTCTACGGACATGGAAGATAGGAGGCATCGGGAACCTAGCTCCGTTGCAAAGAGTTTCTATCATAATGCAAACATGCAGTATCAACATTGGACTCGACGAATAAAACGGGAATTGATTTAGTGACGTCGTGACCGCGTGAATCAGCTAGACCTATTATGGAGTCCCTTAGCGCCGGGGGCGTGCTTGACATCTTGACTCCCCGCTTCGTCCCAACTACATACTTCGTAGGTATCACTGCAACCTGAGAGACATGGCCTCGGCACCCAGACCCTCGGGGGTCATAAAAAGGGCAGCCCTTGCAAAGTGTAAACACGCGCCGCAAAACCGCATGCGCGATTCAATGAGGTGAGGCCCCCGGCGCAGTCTCAGAATTGACAACATCTGATTCCCGCAAGTAAAACGTTTGGTACAGAAATAGTCACAGTACGTGCCGGTCCGGGCGCTGAACCTTTCCATATCCACAGAAATTTGATCGCTCATTGGTCACGATACTTCCACAATGCGTTCAAGGGAGGCTTCAGGGAGGCAGAAGAAAAGGAAATCACACTTGACGACGTGGAACCTTGGCTGTTCAAGATTGTTATGGAATGGCTCTATACACAAAGGCTGGTGCTGGAAAACCGGAAAGAAGCATTCGTCGAGGTGCTGAAGCGTAGAGAGCTCAACTTCTCAGAGAACAAGAACGACAAGGTCACGCCCTCAGCTAGGGAATATGTCGAGGTTACGGCTACGGACTCAGGTAGGGAAAGCGACGAGGTCACTGTCATGGCCACGGTCCCGGAACAAGACCAGGTTCAGACATCGGAGGGGACTGATGAAAAGAGACCGTTCTTGTGTTTCAAAAGTCCCAAAGACGACATAATACGGGATTCTGCTATTGAACATAGTAAGCTCAGTCATTTTCCACTCGTTGAACGCCTGACTGACCTATTCCTCTTCTTATAGTCAAACATGTTGAGGTTCTGTTGTACAGATTGACAGCGTTGGAAGACGAGGCCTTAGAGATCTTCGCAGAGTTAAATTGGGAGCTGCTGTTCTTAGAGGAGATTTGTATGGATATACCATACACGATCCTCTATAGCACTCGCATCTTGAAAGACCTCAAAAGAATTCGAGATTTGTCTCATACCGAACTTCCCGATCATATAAGAGTCCTCCTTCGAGATCGGGCGACCAAATTGCTGCAAGTCTGGCAAAGCATACCGTAGGTACAAAATTCCTAGTTGCGTCTTCCCTATTAAAATTGACCCCATCTAGGTACTTACACGCTGAATACCCTAACGGCGAGCCAGGAAAGGGCCCTGATCAGCTCGATAGCTACTCGGTGCTCGTTGATTTGTACATTTTCGCCGACAAGTACGATTTTCCGCAGCTTCGATATGATATTATAGACGCAATTCATGTCAAGAACACCATCTCCATCCACTTTGTACCTGACATCCACGCCCTCGTCAAGGCGTTCGACAACCTCCCTAGCACATCTGGGCTATACCGGTACTTATTCGAAACGTGGGCGTGTGACTGGGATGGGCAACACCGAAAGATGGGAAGCGCCTCCGAGACGATTGAGGAATTGTTACCTAAACCCCTGGTATTCGAAATAATGATCAGGAGATCTCGAGAAATGAGTCTCGTACATAAAACACCCAAGAGAACCCTGTTGCCAGGACGTTATGAGTACAACATTTGCCAGTATCATGATCATCCTCGTAAACCGAGCAAGGAGCCGGGATTGAATGCGGCTGTAGGGAGTGCATGATACGCTGCGCGTGTTTATGTTACGGATACAGTACCAGGAACAGCAATTAAGCAAGTCCTTGGCCGGTATGTTATCAAGGTCTGACCGCGGCAAGAGAATCCTAGCAAGAAAAACTTTCGTGTTTGGAGTGAAAGCACTACACTATGGCGTTACTCTTGAGCGTGCCGTCAGCGCAAGCTTTTATTTCGGATTGAATATGGAGTCAAGGTTTATGTTTATGTTTGGATACCGCAAGGTTATATCGGTCCGGCGGCGTTCTTAGGTAGGGCGGATGGTTGGTCTTCTGCTAATGGCACCCTATTCGTTACGGGCGATTGTAATGCATGAGGTAACATAGTCATTCGACAAAACCAATATTAAGACCCGAATCGTGGCATCAACACCTTTGCTTAACCATGAAGTGTCCCGTCATCAATACAACCCAAAATACTCTGGCCATGCATAAAAGGGGCACCCCTACCCGATCAACCGCTTCAAACCCCACACCGCTCCAGCCAGAATCATCAGCCCAAACACTAGCATGGCAATTACCACCCAACCCCGCAACTCAAAGGCATCTCCAACCTGGAGCCTTGCAACTGCACGGTGCTTCTTCTTCACAAACCAACTTCTCTTCCTCCCGTTTCCATTACCCTGCGCAACTACAGCATCTGGCTTCCGCGACGAAGGGCTGGCCGTGTCCCATGCGGTGGAGGTTGGATCTTGGTACGGCTCTGGGTCCAGCCAGGCGCGGGGAGAGAGGTAGGCGATGAAGCCCCTAGGGTGCGGTTGAGGATGAGACGAGACGCGTGCGGCGCGATCACTGCGATTAATGATGAAGAGTGATAAGAGGAAAGATATGAATAGAATGGGTGTGAGGAGCATCTAGATTGTAGACATGAGTTGAGATGAAGGAGTTTGTGGGATAAAATCCACCCACGGTCTTTACACGCGACTGAACTGGCTCCTGGGCGTCATCCTCGGGCGACGGTGGCCGTGGTATGGGCTGGGTTAGTGGAATGCTGTAGAATGGGTCGTCGGGTTTCTTGCGCCTTTGTTTCACTTTTGGCGGAGAGGGCGGTGGACTTGGTGGAAGAGCTGCATTCATGAGTCTGGCTCGTGAGGTAGCCATTGTTGTGAGTACGGAGGTATCATTTGCTCGTAGGTACGACGAACCAAGGTCAACATGAAGGAGTCAGGAGTGCAGGACGACTGAAATACTGTGCTGACGAGGAGTTGTATCGGCTGTGGCGGGAACGACATCATTCCTGCCTTATCGATAACAAAACCCTTGTTTCTCCTCTAAGGGGCGGTTCGGGACGATCTCGGCACGTTCCTTCGGTTGCATCACGTGGCTGGTGTTCCCAATCGAGGATGGCTTGCGATGCATGACGCTCCGTGGCTCCCTTTCATCTTCACGTCGGCCCTGCAGGTGCTTTAACCCCGAGAAAGCCATCCACACGTCCATCCAAAACACGCGTAACGGTGCTGCCTGGCCGTGTGTGCCTGATTATATAGGGACTGGCTCGTTCCTTTGGTTTCCGTCAGCTCATGCTGCATTACTCATCTCCAATCGCCGGTCGGACGAAATCGCACGGCTGTGTTCCGGCCTCAGTGTCCTTTCACCATCCCCGTTTTTTATACCGCCGCTTTTCTCTCGTTACTCCATTCATCTAATCGTGATTGCGCTCTGTCCGTGAACCGTCCGTTTTTTGCTTCCTCCGTTACCTGTCGATTTTGAAGCTTTTCGCCCTTTGGGACACACAAGGTCCGGACAAGATGCCCAAGAGCACCTCTCCTGACCTGGCAGCCCGCAAAAAGATGCGGAAGGGGACGCACAGCTGTTTTGAATGTATGTGCCCCTTAGAGGATTGATCTGTACTTTTGCCATGCGAGGTGCGACTGGGGTCGATAAAACCTTCCCCACCCGCGTAATTCCGGATGAGGAAGTGCATTGGGTCAATGCAAGGTCATTGGATCGTTTCTGATCTGTTATAGGCCGGCGCAGGAAGATTCGGTGTATTTTTCCGCCTGATAATCCCGACGTCTGCTCCGAGTGCTTTGCTCGGGGCTCGCGATGCGTCGACCAAGAGCATGCCAATGCAGATGTCGTGTTGGATCAGAGGAAGAATCTGCGGGAGAGAGTCTCCCGTCTTGAGGCTCTTGTTGAAACTCTGCTCGATGAACGCGGCGACAAAAGTCCGGTCGAGAAGCAACCTAAGACGGCGAAAAGCGGCAATTTTTCGTCAGACCCCATTCCGTCTAGAGACCGATTTCCTCCCACGCCCATCTCATCTGATGTTACTCCGTCCGGCCATGGACCAATGCTCAACGCCCATACGGGCAATCCTCCTCTGCTATCCGTGTTTGAAGACGCAGTAAGCACGCTTCATCTTCTCATTTCGATATCCCACTCCTGACCTCGTCTAGCTGAACAACGCGGAGAGTCATTATGCTAAGTCGGAGGCATCCTGCCAGTACGGGACCAGGAAGGATGGCTCCCCTGCGTGTGCTCAGGAGTCGCAAGAGCCGCTCCGTGTTCAGTGCAGCGGAGACAACCATCTCGCTGACATGATCGATGAGACATCCGCAGCCGCGTCGAAACTGAAGCGGGCTCGAGCGAAAGAGGCCCTACTGTCTGTACTCCCTCCATTCGACCAACTCAATCAACTCTTGAACGCCAACGGCGAATGGTGGCAGACATGGCGAAAGAAGACTGCCGGCACGTCCGGCAACATTCCGTTGGCGGATTACGCTGCCCATGCCATTTCCGAAGATGGAAGCCCAGCGGCACTAGGCGTCTTGGTCCTTGGTGTTGGTGTATGCGTAGAAAGCGACGATGTTGATAAATACATCAACACTGTGGATCGCTGGGTGCTTTCTGATGACGAGTACGCTGCCACTCTGGAAGGCATGGAATGCCTCATACTAGAAGCTAAGTGGTACTCCGATGTCGGTCAGCCGCGTCGAGCTTGGCTTGCATTCCGTCGCGGTCTGATGTATGCTCAACTTATGGTATGAACCTGCCTACCGTTTGCCACCTAATGTCTACTAACGGTTATAAGGGTCTTCATCGCAAACGTACCACCTCCGAAGCTCATGAGAGTATATGGTGGTCACTGTACCATGGTGATCGCTTTCTTTGCCTGCTTCTAGGGCTGCCATCCGGTGTGGTAGATGCACATTGCGACCTTACCTACCAGATACCCCCAACCAAATACCTCTTACCCCTCGACTTCGTCAATCAGATCTCCATCATAGCTGGAAAGGTTATCGATAGAAACCAAGGTTCAGGCGACCCATCGTTCGCCTTCGCTCTTGACCTAGATCAACAGATGGAAGAGCTATTCAACAAACTAGATCCGACCTGGGTGGACACGTCAGCAGCGATGGTCGATTGCCAAACAAGTGCTGCCGACCTTCGAGAACGTCTACTAGCTCAGTTGATATATCACCAAATACGGGTCTACCTCCACCTCCCTTTTATGCTGAAGTCAGTCAACAACCCCCGCTTTGTGTATAGCAAGACAGTCTGTCTGGCTGGCTCGAGAGAGATGCTGCGACTGTATGCAAGCCTTCGCACGGGTTGCGCGGAGCCTCTATACGAATGCAAAGCCATTGACTTTCTCGGATTCACGGCCGCAATTCTTCTCCTCCTCGGTCTCTTCCCCGTTGCTCCAGATGCATCAGTAAGCGTCAGCCCACAAGAAATAGAAGAAGACTGGCGCCTGATTGAGATATGTATCGACATATTTCGCCGCGCGTCGAACGAGAAAGGTGGCAAAGTTGCAGCACAAAGCTATGAAGTCCTGCAGAAAATGTCGACCAAGCTTCGCGACGCCAAACCAGGACAGTGTGATCCAGACGATGAAGACTGCCCTTATGGAGCCGAAGAGGGACCCGCGATTGTGATCCCATACTTTGGTACCATTTCGATTCGCCGTGGAGACAAAACGGTACAGCCGCCGAAGCCCATTAGGAAGGGCATATCGACAACCTCGTCTTCAACCTCGCCATCAATTACTCAGCTAACGCCCTCTTCGTCCACCGATGCAAACACGTTTCTTCAGGGCATCCCTTCTGTTGGAATGGTGGACAACACCATGAATCAGATGCAAGATCCTTTCATGACGTACGACGGGGTCTACGCAGGCAGCTCCAATTTCGATTCTGCGCTTAATGAAGATGGCATTGCAAACTTCGCTCCACTAGCAAACAGCTTTTCGTGGCAGAACATGCCGACTTCGATGGATATTGATCAGGACTGGATTGGGTTTATGAGCGATGCTACGAATCAAATGCTGCCGAACCTAAGCACAACGGCACTAGACCAGGACTTTGCGCGAAACGCCTTTCCCGGATTTTAACCTTGCTTGCTCGAGGACTGAGTTTACGGCGTTTACGGATTGGTTGCAGATGAGGCATACTCTTAATCAGAGCTTATGACCTAAAAAAACTTTCACTTTCGTTGTGTTCATGTGTCAGAATCAGGGTACAAAGGGTACTGCCACCTCTATCGTTTCTTTTAATGTTCTACTAAGTATGGGCGTTACGGCCACTCAGATTCCCCACTCTTCCCTTTGTGTTGTATGTACGATTACGTTTCGTATGTTCTAGTTGGAAGACTCCCTGTAAAGAAGGGCCGGTTTCCACAATTAATAGATATGTCGAAGTCAATGAACTGAGCAGAAACTTACCGTTTAACGGTAGCTCTCTTTTTTCCTGGATTTCAATGAACAAGCGCTATGCTGGTCACAAGGTCGATACATATGCGCTGTGCCCTTCTAATCTTATTCCTTACAATTCATTGGATAAACTTTGTGTGCTCGTATCCCTCAAACTGTGATATAGAGGCGAGCTTTCCGACCGGAGTCCCACAAACGAAAACAAAAATCGGACGCAGATTCTTGGCTTTCACCTCAGTTGCAACATGACTTAATCGACGTCCGTGATGACCGTACTGCGCGCGCTCTAATTGGGAGAACGCAAATCGACTAGGGCACGATAGTTAATGCCAGCTTAAATATACTAGGTTGAGCGACTCTGGCGAATCAGCGCACCGCTATCGAGCGATATTGTGGGCCGGTCGGCGCCTGGCAGCCCGACCTTGGACCCACTACCTAGTAAGTTGTGGTTAAGAACTCCCTTCCTCCTTCTCACCACCGCCGAGACGAAACAAATTTCTCTCCTTTGTTGCCGAAGTATGGAGTCTTCAGCTTTCCTGCAAGACAATTGCGTGAAGCTTTTCTTTCTCGTCGTGGTCGGTGCATTGGCATTTCAGCCTAGCCTCATTCGGACGGCAACAACGCTCCCCTTGCTCGGAATACTGCTTTGGCAATTCGTTCTAGTAGAGGAGAAGGGCTTTTTTGGGGATCATTTTTCTCTCGGCTGTCTCATCGGTCTGCTTTCTTTTGCGTATATCGATCGCATCGTTCTCGCAAATCCAGACAAGGAGGGATGGCATAAGCTCACGGACTCTGACGCCGAATCGAGATCTGCGACCCCAGCTGCGCCAGTGGGGTCCTTTAGGAGGCTCTGGTGGTCACTTCTCATCTTCTTTAACCTGCGCGGTGTGGGCTGGAGTGTAATCTTACCTCGTCATGCCATGTTGAAACCGATGCTGACAAGGGAAACAGTACCAAGTCAAGAATGTTCCTACTGCTCACCCAGCCGACTATTCAAGATGGTAAGTTCCAAACACCACCTTAGGGAGCGATTCTTATGTCGTTTAGGAAATTTGTATTACGAAAGCTCTTCCTCGGTGCTACGTTTTTCATAATCGAAGACACTCTTTGCTCATGGACCGCCTCTACGCCATGGGGCAGCTTCCGTGATGTCGACGGCTTCGTTCCAGTCGGTTTTCAGGACTCTGTTTCTTATCAGACAAGATTCCTACTTAGCTGGTAACTAGGTTCTAAGACTAAGTAGTTTCTGCCCGCCCACTTACGAAGCTGCTAACCTTTCAAAAGGACCTACATTCTAATCACATATTATACTCTGGAGTTCATAAACTGCGTCATCTCGGTTGTTCTTGTAACCTTGCACTTCGCTAACCCGAGCGAGTGCCCACCCCTTTTTGGGGACCCGCGCGAGATGTATACGCTGCGTAAAGCTTGGTCGTAAGTCTCCCATCGAATACCTCTCCTGGTAGTGCGGCTTACGGAAGTCGACAGAGTGACCTGGCATCAAAGTATGCGCCGTGCTTGTGCGACCATGGGGCTCTTCGCTGCTCGAGACGTCCTCCGCCTCAAGAAAGGAACCTTCGCCTCCAAATACGTCCAGCTCTTTGTTGGGTTCGGCGTGAGTGCGACCATCCACGCCATGGGATCCGTAGGATGCTATGGTGCGCTACAGACCAACGGCGAGTTCACCTTCTTCATGGCCCAAGCTCTTGCGATTATGATCGAAGACCATGTTGTTGCTCTGGGACGGAAGCTGGGAGCTCGTGACCGCCTGGCTTGGAGAGTCCTCGGCTACGTGTGGGTGACACTCTGGTTTGGCCTGAATTCAGCGTGGTTCTCTGCGGCGATAGTCAACGGTATTTGGAACCACCAACGGGGTGCGGATGTGTTTGGGCTTGGTCCTCCACGGCCTGTGAAGTCTGCATAGGCTTTCGGTTTTGCTCATGTACATATATCTGGGGACTGTTGATTGGCTACACCCGCCAAGCCGGGTGAGCTTGAAAGGGACAAGCCTCTAGAGCTGCATGAATCGCGGATCTGCGACACAGCTCCGATGTTGTCACAGCTCCAGGTTCAACATCAACACTCACAAGACTTGAAGACTGACCTCTTCCTGTAGAATAAGTATGCGTCAACGCTTTTTAAACGCGGTATTCCTATCGTGTGCTACCGTCTCTGCCCTCCAAATTCCCTTCCTCGGGCCCTTAATCCCCCAAAATGCCATCACCAAGAAACCCCTCGTCAGCTCCGAAGCCATCCAAGCCGACATCAGCTCCAAAGCCCTCCTAAAACGAGCCAAAGAGCTCTTCAAGATCGCCGAACTCGGCATAGACGAGTACAACCACCCCACGCGCGTGATAGGCTCGAAAGGTTTGCTCCCTCCTCCCTTGCATCCCATCCCGTCTCAATCCCATCCCATCCCAAACTTCATCCCGCACCCATCACTCCCACCTCGACTAACCCCCCCTCTCAGGCCATCTCGCAACCCTCGACTACATCTACTCCACCCTCGCCTCCCTGGGCTCCTACTACACCCTGACCAACCAAACCTTCCCCGCCGTCGTGGGCAACACGTTCGAATACCGCCTCGTGCTCGGCGCCACCTCCCCCAACTCCACCCAGGCCATGAGCCTCACCCCACCCACCGCGGACAAAGAGCCCGTCTTCGGCCCCCTCGTCCTCATCGCTAACGACGGCTGCGACGCCTCCGACTACCCGGCCAACACGACCAACGCCATCGCCCTGATCCAGCGCGGCACCTGCCCCTTCGGCACGAAGTCGGCGCTCGCAGGCAAAGCCGGCGCCCTCGCCGCCGTTGTGTACAACACGGCCGAGGGCAGCCTCTCCGGGACGCTGGGCACGCCGAGCAAGCACCACGTCGCGACGTTTGGCATCTCGCGCGCCGACGCGCTGCCCTACATGTCGTCGCTTCAAAACGGCACCGTCATCGACTCGTCCGCCTACATCGACGCGATAGTCCAACGCATCGCCACGACCAACATCATCGCGCAGACCACCGCGGGCGACGCCGCCAACTGCGTCATGCTGGGCGGGCACAGCGACAGCGTGGCCGAGGGCCCGGGCATCAACGACGACGGGACGGGCACGCTCACGCTGCTCGAAATCGCGGCGCAGCTGGCCAAGTACGACGTGCGCAACTGCGTGCGCTTCGCGTGGTGGGCCGGCGAGGAGGAAGGCCTGCTGGGCAGCGACTACTACGTTTCACAGCTCTCGGCGCGCGAGAACCTGAAAATTAGGCTGTTCATGGACTACGACATGCTGGCCAGCCCCAACTTCGCGTACCAGGTGTACAACGCGACCAATGCGCGCAACCCCGCCGGCAGCGAGCAGCTGCGGGATTTGTATGTCGAGTGGTATGCAGCCCAGGGGCTGAATTACACGTTTATCGCGTTTGACGGCCGCAGCGATTACGATGGGTTTATTAGGAATGGGATCCCCGGCGGCGGCATCGCGACGGGGGCCGAGGGCGTGAAGACGGCCGAGGAGAAGGACATGTTTGGCGGGAGCGAGGGGGAGTGGTTTGATCCGTGCTATCATCAGTTGTGCGATGGGGTGGAGAATTGCAATTTGGGCGCGTGGGAGGTGAATGCGAGGTTGGTGGCGCATTCGGTGGCGACGTATGCGCGGAGTTTTGAGGGGTTTCCGGCGAGGACGGGGGTGAAGGGGAATAGTGCTGCGGAAAGGGCGTTGTATCATGGGCCGAAGTTGGTTATGTAGGGGGGAGACTGGGGGGATGGTGTGAATGGGGGTAGAGAGTGTATAGTATGGATGTGCTTTGGTTAGATAGAGTAGGCTTATATGCCTAAGGCACGTATAGATACCGCATTCTTGAAGAACTTCCTTTTTTTTTTTTAAGAATTCCAATCGATTTTGATTCCACAGCGACCACACTTCCGGTGGCTCAGTTGGTGGTTCCTTTTTATGCTGAAACAAATTCCCCATTCGGGATGAGTATGAGTGTACGCCTCCAATGCTTGCTCGGTGCTTGCTCGCACACCCGAAACGCCAAAATGCTCCACCCTGACAAAAGAAAATCGACCAGCTCAAAGATGTATCCTAGAATCAAAAAATGCCCTAATCAACAAACACACTGATGCTCGCTCATGCTCGCTCGCTGGTATCCCGCTCCCACCCATGCAAGGATCCAAACAGATTTCAAAAACGAATGGCAAGAAAACCGCTTCCAAATGCAGGTTCATCAACTCCCCTCGGACTTGGGGGTAACGGATATGGGTATAACAGCTCTCTCAAAACTCTGCTCAAAAACTCACCAACTCTTCGCCTCGGGCAGTCACCACATAATCCCCCGCCACTCAAACATGCCATCCACATTCTTCCAGTTTCCCTGATCGATCGCGTTCTCCCACCCCATCATGACCGCCATGAGCCGGCAGCCCAGACTGCTGACGGTGCAAACAACGGCATCGGCTTGGGACAGCACAGCGAGGTCCATGAGGTAGGCGCGCCCGACGAGCTCGCGCAGTTCCATGGCTTGCTTCGACCCCTCCTGCGTCACCTCGTGGCCGGCGGACGCGGCGTCGTTGGCGTTGGTGCGTGGCTGGCCGAGCGACCAGAAGACGTCTTTGAAGAAGCCGCCTTCCCAGCCCGAAATCTCGTCGATGTAGGGGTTCGTCTTCGGTGCCGTCTTCTCGAGCGTCGTTTTCGAGGCGAGGACGATGCGGTCTTGGGCGCGCAGGGCGTGGCCCATTTCAGGGGTGGGGTAGACGTTTGGGTCGTCGGAGGCGAGGACCATCTTGGACGAGGTGTGGCGGGCCTCGATTTCGGTGTTGAGCTTGGCATTTTTCTTGGATTTGGTCGAGTTGCCAAGGCGGGCTAGGAATATGTCACGGGCGGTGTCGACGAAACGGTCTAGTGGGAGGTAGTCTTTTGAGTATTGGTACTCGTACGGGTGGCGGTCGCCGCGGCGGACGTGCATGCCGATGCTCATGCCGCCAGCTTCCCTCGCAGGTTCGTAGAGTTTTTGGGCGCGCTGCTCGACGTAACTGGCGTCGTCTTCACGGAGAGTGAAGAGGTCCTCGTATCCTACGCGGGCGAGCTCGAAGATCTTGTGCTGGCGCTGCACTTCCATCTTGCGGGCGTCCTCGAACTCGTAAGTGAAGGCATGACCAAAAGTATGGCTAATGAGGGCAGGAGAGACGACAATGTGGCGCGCATTATGTGGGCAAGGCACAATCTCCGACTTTGGCGGTGGTAGACACCCTGCTGCCGGGGGTGGGGTGAAGTAAGTAGAGTAATTCCCATAAGGCCTGTCTATATTAGCTGCCGAAACCCGGGTGGAGACTACGGTCAGGGAGAAGGTAGCAGGTCAGACGTACCATCTCGTGTCGTCGTAGAACCACGCTCGACCCTCTTTCATAGCCAGGCCATACGACATCCACATAGCCATCAACGTGTTCCCCAGTCCAGCATCAACCGTCTCCATAGCGTATGTTAAGCTTCTCTGGCAGACCATCATTCCTTCCTCTTCACCGGGAGTGAGACCGTCATCCATCATTTGGGGGCTTCCGTGCGATTTAGACTTTGGTAGTAGGCCTTGTTCTTGCGCTTCTCGTACGTCCATATAGTAAGGGTCCTCAGAATAATAGCCCATCGAACGCTTCGTGTGAGACTTTCCATTCTCGGTCAAATGCTGGGACAGTTCCATTGACTGTTTGCAGATCTCTCGATAGTGCGCGGGCTTCAAAGGGAAGTCGTAGCTCTCTGGTATCGAGACAGTCCACTTGGGCTTCTCCTTCTTGTCGGTGACTATGACGGCCGAGGGGTTGCTCGGGAGGAAGCTGTCGCCGACCATTTCGTAGTCCTCGCTCCCATCGCCTGTATATCTGTCGGTCCATGCCCGCTGTTCGGTGTAAAGATGGCGGATGCCGAGCCAGACAATGATGGTGACACCGCAGCAGGCAATGAGCAGCCGCTTCACCAGACGCGAGTGGCTTGCAGAAGACGGCTTCTTGCCATGTCGGGGTATCAGGGAGGGGAGGCTCGGCGAAGGTGGTGGAGATGCCGCTTCCAGGAGGACGCGGTGGGATGCCAGCCGCGGGGAGAGAAAAGAGGCGGAGTTCATGGACGGCGAGAATGGCTGGGAGAAGGCGGTGGAGGAGACCACAAGGCCAGGATTCCGGCGTGCGTGCATCTTCTTGACGCTGTTCACAATCATGTCGAGGACAGTGACGGGGCGGGAATGAGGCAGCTCAACTCAGTCTTGTCATTCACCCCAACCTAAGCAGGTTGACAGTGCGGGACCGGCCAGCAACGGCGAAGGAGCGAAGACGGGAGGTCCACCGTGGCCTGCAGGTGGGTGGGTTGCGGCGTAGTGAATGCACGCGCGGTGAGAGACCGTGTTTCGGGCCAACAAACGGAAAGAGCAGGCAATTAGGGAGCGAGGTTCACAAGCCGTATGTGTGAAATTGCATCGCGCGGCCGCCTGGGCTGGAGATGCGGTCAGAGGACTGGGCAGCGGGTGGGACGAAGCAGCACAGGAGGTCAATATCAAAAAGGGCCTGACCCGCGGGCGGAGCGTAGACGAAGGATGACGGCGCGGAGGAAAACGCTGTGGCTAGGCTGCGTCGGGCGGAATGGAGCGGAGGGGCGTGGGAGCGTGTCGTGCGTGTCCAGCGTCGCCCATGGACGGGGCATCTGGGGCGACGCTTCGAGGCAGGATTGTCGTGATGGAGGCCAGCGGCTGTTTCAGACTGCGACGCTTCGAGCACCACGACGGCAGCGACGGCTTGGCGGCCCATCAAACGACGCCAACCAAGGGCCGAGGAAGGGTCGCCCCCGGCAAGCCGCGAGGGAGGGGCCTGTCGACGTGAGACGCTGGACGTCATCGCTCACGACGCCCGCCGGTTCCAGCGCCCCGACTGGCAACGCTGTGACGCCCTCGCCTTTCTCCACATTCTGCTCTGCCCTCAACGTGTGCTGGCGCCGGCCGATCTGCATCTGCCCGCGTTCCACTCCCACACAGACCCCATGCACAGTGCAAAACAAGCACCCGCCTGACGCCGCATCAGCGCCCGCAAGGAGCACAATGCTAGCCAGCAGGAAGGCCTGCCCGAACGGGGAAGGCTGCGCGGGACGCTTCCGTGTGTTGCAGTCGAGCTGCCTCGGGGTTGGGTGTCGCGGAGCGCGTTGGCTCGGCCTTCCTCCGCGCGCAAAAGCTTGGCTGCGCAAGGATGCTCCCAGCGCAAAGGTGCAGACCTCGTATGTGCAGAACGCCGGGTTTTGGCTCGGAGCGCCCTCCATCGCTGTGAACAGGTGTTTCCCGGCTTGGAGAGAGACGTTTAATTAGCCGTCAGGTCTTGACCGCACATAAATAAACCCTTGCTGCTGTCGACCCTGCGTGCACTCAACCCATCCGCGGCTGTCAGAAATCTCACATCAACATGCCGGGTCCATCGCAGTTTCAACACTCCCCAGCACGCGACAAATCTCACCACAGACTGCAACACCACGGGGCCAATCCACGCTGTCTGACTCGTTCGTGTTATACCACGCGACTTAAGCTTCATCACTATTGTACCGCAGCCGCCCGCGTCTCTCCTCCCATCCTCGATTAATCATACAGCATCAGGCCATCTCGATATAAGAAAAGTAGACAGGGTATCAAGGTTCAAGCCTCCCCAAGGAAATGGAAGACACCAACGCCAACAAAATGCCGTCGCGATTGCTCGCCGAGTCGCCTCCCTCGCTCTTTACAGCCCGCCCAACACCAAACACCTAATGCCCACACGCCTTTTCTTCTTCCCACAAATTCTCCTACTTGGCCTCGCTCACCGCGCGCAGGCTGCTCCGCGATGCGCCCTTGGCACCACCGTGCGCCCCGTCCACGCGTTCCGAGATCATCTCATCTAGGATCCGCGTCATCTCATCTACGCCCTTGCCTGACTTCTGCGATGCAGGCGAGAGCAGCGCAACCGGGCTGATGGGTGGCCCTCTGAACTTGGAACTCGCCGTGCTCCCTTCGCTTCGTTGATGCGAGGATCGCCGGCTCTCGTTTGCTGACGCAGTATCGATGCCCAGGTCTGCAACCTCACGCTTTCGCGCAGCAGACCGCAGCGCCGTCACCATCCTCTCCTTGTCGTCCAGCCTAGCGCGGAGGTCTGCAATCTCTGCGTCCTTCTCTGATAGGAGTCTCTCAACCCCATCGTCGCCTCCAATTACCTTATGAGACAAACTCATCGAAACACGTGACTGGCTTGATCGCCTCGCCTGCAACAATCTTTTCTCAAGCGTACCGATGTAGCGGTTCTTGTCAGAAAGGTCGGCCTGTAACGCCCGGATCTGTGCCGCTTGGCTCGCTGTGCCGTCTCCATTCTCGCCCAAAGAATCATCTTCCTCGGAAGGCGTCTCTCCAATTGCTGTGCCAATTGGAGGGGAGCTTCCTGACGACGTTCTGTTGGCAGTAGGAACTTCGAGTGTAGTATGGCTCGCCGAAGACCTCGCTGATACTGGCCGGAAATCGCCATTGCTTAGTATCGATCCACGGTTGTGCGTTTGGCTGTGTAGGCCCATCGAGGAAAACGAACGTCCCGAATTCACCCCTAGCGACTTTGAGCTGAGAATCAGGCGATTCAGATGCTCGATACGCTCCTTCAGGGCGGTCCTGGCTAGCTGCATCTCGAGCATCTGCTCCTCGTGCCGCTGCTCGGCTTCCATTTCGCGTGCCTTTTCCTCCTCTTCGTCTTTCTCTCTCTCCTCCTCTTTTACGACTTCTCTTATAATCACTTCCTTAACCCCATCTCCAGACTCCTTCGCCGACTTCTCTTCTAGTTGCTTGCGGAGCTCCTGAATTTCTATGCGATACCGATCAAGAAGAGCCCTTTCGCCAAGACCGTCTTCCACCTTCTTTGCGTGGCTTACAATGTTGTTCTTAGCTCTCGAGGCAAATTTAAGGGTATTGAGCGTCTCGCCCGTGTGACTGTTTGCCAAGGCAGCACTGCCTGTGGAACCGATCTGAATCGTACACAGGATGCTGACGAGAGAGTTTCCAGATAGAGCGCCCTGGAGTAGTCGAGTGAGTTTGCTGTCTCTGTAAGGCAGATGCTTGTCTCCTTTTGTGCCTGCCTTGCCCGCATCGGCCTTTTCCTTGTCGGTGGAGAGGCGTGCGATGACGGTGCCCAATGTCAACAAACTCTTGTTGATGTGGGAGCCTTCTGTTCTTCGTTCCTTGTTCTCCGCGGCTTTCTCGGATCCCGCCAAATCGATCAGACTCAGCGTAGAGACACGGACTCCTCCTGGACCAATAGCAGACCGCTTGCTGTCTTGCAAGCTGGTGCCTCCTGGTGGCTGTCTCTCGCGGCTCTCCACAACAATCTGGACCACGGCGTGACTGCGGGAACTGCGCGCATTGTACTGAGTGCCAGCCACCTTCCTCGCGTTGTCACCTCTGGCAATGACGCGCAAAAGTTGTGTAGGGCTCTGTACAATCTCTTCCTTGAGAGGAGTGGCGTAGACTCCACGCTTGCTGTCCTCCCGTAGTTTAATTTCCTCTTGTGGTAGCAAAGTACCATTCATGGCCGTGGCGGTCGAAAACGAAAGAAGGTCATGAATTCTCTCGTTGTAGATCTCAAGATAGCTTACTCGGAGGAGGAATTCGCGGTCTGGAGTTTCTCGAATGAAGGAGAAGATGTCCGTGATAGCGAGTGGAATGACACCTGGAGATGTTGCTGTACCCTGCATGGAAAAGGTTTTTCCAGTGCCGGTCATGCCGTATGCGAAGACCGTTCCATGATAGCCCTCCATAACTCGTCGCACCAAGCGCTTGGCTGCTGCGTCATACACTCGTGCATTGTTGTCTTGTGTGTCGAAAACATTATCTATGTCTTAAGTTAAACCCCGATCAGGACACGTGCAGTTGCGTGTAACCCACCATAAATATAGTCCCCGCCTTCCCGCCCTCTATAAGCCACTGACGACTTTTTGGCGTTGACCTCCCACTCGTCATGCTTCCCATCGTTGCTGCTCGCGTCAGGCCGCACGCGAACACTAACAACCACGTTTCCCTTCCCCTCTTTATGTGTCGAGTTTCTGTCTGTTCCTGACTTGTTGTCTGCGCGACCCCTCGGTTCCTCCTCGTTGATATCGTCGAAGCTCGTTGCGTATGAGTCTTGCGCTGAGGAGTTTCGACTTTGGGGAGGGGAAGGGAGGGTGAGCATGGTGTTTCCTGGTGCTGTTCTGCTCTCGCCGGCGAGGTTTGGAGGCGTAAGTGGCGACTTCAGTCCGACCCCTCGACTTGAGACTCGAGGGCTTTTCATCCTCAGGCTACTATCTCGCGAAGGCACAGCTTTGGGGCCAGCGGAAACGCGCTGATCGAGAGAAGCCCCAGCGGGAGTAGAGCTCGTGGAGAGGGGGCTTGGTGGATGGCTCGAGTTCCGCCCAACGTATTTGGGCGGTTGAGGAAAGGCTCCGATGCTGATTGTCTTTCGCAGGCCCTTGCCGGGGGGTAGCATCTGTGCCGATTCGTTGCCATTCAAGGTCGGCACATTCGAAGTCGAGCTGGACTGGGCCCTGGGTGGCCGTTGGGGCAGAGCTGATGAGGACACAGCTCGCGTGGCGGTGGTGGAGGAGGAGGAGGGAAGCAGCGACGCGCCAGAGCCCCGCCTGCTCGAGGTCACAGATTCGTTGATAGAGCCTACCGAGCTCTTCCTGGATTTCGGAACTGGCAGCGAGGGCAACGGGCCGGTGGGTGGGTTCAGCGATGGGCGCGATGGTCGTGGTAGGGTGGTCGCCATGATGTTTTCTATTGACTGATCTTTCAGCCCAGATAGTGTCTCTCGAGTCTACCTCGTCGTGCTCATATCATCGAGCGGCAGAGAACCTGGCGGCAGAGTAGGAGAGGTCAATGGCCGGCGCAGCCGTTGCAGAAGCGTCTTGGGGATCGTATCAAGAGGACGGGGCCTTCCCTGCGGGCGGGCACGGCAGTCGAGGGCTCGACGGAACGCACGTCCACGGTCGCGGCGGACTCGAGGATGAGGATGACGTGACACGGTATGGAAGATGCGAGGCGTGTCGAGGCAGGGATCGTAGGTTGACGTCGAGTGGTATTGAGAACGCAGGCCGACGTGGGCGGTGGTGAGTGGTGAGGTGAAGATGCAGACAAGAGGTAAAGGAGCGTGGTCGCGAGCTGCAGGGACAAGGAAGCCCGTGGGAGCGTGCAGGGAAACGGGAAGCTTGGGGCACAGGTGTGGGTGCTTTGCGCTTCCACCGTCTTTTCCGCGGCCTTATTCTGGTGTTGATTCTGCCGGGCACGGTGCTGGCGGGAGCGTGGGCGGGAGTCGTGACGCGTGAGCGGATGCTCGGGACGAGAATGGGAGCGGACAGGAGGCAGAAGAGGCCCGTCGCGTGGGAGCCCAAAACGGTTTTTTGCAAAAGTGCCCCTGGAAAACGACTCGGCAGCTACATCGCCAGAAAAGTGATCGGCCTGGCATTTGTGGATGAGGCCAAGCCTCCCCGGACAGCTGCCGCGCCCCGACTCCTTTCTTTGGGCCGGCATCGTGAGCAGGGGCTGTATCGAGATGCGGGTGCCGCTTGCCGTCGAACTCTATGAGAACTTCTTCATCTATCCTGCGTTCACTGCCTCTACGCCAGACGCACTGCATGCAACCCTCCCGACGTCAAACTTCTCCCCAATGCACCCCACCAGCGTGCATACGGGCTCATCCGCACAGTGGCCCCTGCCCACGGGGTCAGTATCTCACTGAGGCCATGCACCGACGCCAGAGCCCGCCAGCCAGTGCTTGCGGGACACCAGCCGGCGCAGACACACGACCCAATTTGCGGAGAGCTCTGAGCGAACTGTGCCTCCTACAGTAGCCCCCGTGTCGGAAGGATCAGCGTCAGCGACGACGGCGTGGGCAGGTGGTTACGATGGCGTGGATGGCTGTTGCTGCAAACGCCAACAGCCTCGAACGACGCCATGAGCGTTGGATTTATTCAGCGCGCTCCCCGCGTCGTGCTCGGAGATTATCGTGCCCTTCGGCCCCAAACGCGTCGAGTTACAGCCCTCCAGCTGGACGAAGCCTGCCGCCACAGTGTTGGGGGGTGTGCCGCAGCACTAACCATCCGCCAATCATTCGGGTATCGCAAATCACAGTGCAGCTCCCTAGTCACATTGCAGAAGTAGCAGCTCCTCCTTCGCTGGTTGTCATTCTAGCATGACGGACTCAGGACTGAGAGCTTAAAGATGCGGAGCTGCCTACGAAGATGGAAGGCCTAGAGTATCAACAGCATTTATGTCTAACACTGATCTCCATATACGCGCCCAGGTTTCCCTTCTCTCGAGTACTTAGCCTGTTGATTAACCATTTCGAGACCACCATTACCCGGCTCCCTTCACCACGGCATGAATTCAGCCATGCCGCCGAAGAGGATGCACGTTCCCTTGAATCGTCACGAATTCTAACCCTGAGTCGAGAATCTGAGCGAGTTTCACAAACACATCAGGCCATGTCCGAGGATTGACTGGATCTACACTCGAGGATTGATTGATGTACACTGAAGCAGTTTCCGACATGCCACCTAAAATCCGTCACTGAGGGTGAGCTGGATAACCTACAGGTGTCATCCACGAGTTGAGGTTCCGTGAGCACAAGCAATGCCTCGGGAGGAGCCAATGAGACGGTCCTCTTGCAGCCGTTACACATCCACTGCAGTGCAGCCGCTGGTATACCGTTGTTCAACTGTATCACGTGAACCACGAGGCTCTGTAGGGATCGGCCGATGGCGCTAGATGCAAATAGTCCTTCAAACCTTTTAAGGTGAAACCTTGCTGGTATGGCATTGACCCGATTTGGCAGAAGTTTCTGATCGATTTGATATTCTCCGAGGTCGGCATCGACCGTTCTACCCCTTTTCTCGCGAACGGCATGACGTATCTATCAAAGCTGATCATCTGCTGTCCAAGCTGTGTATATCAGCCTGGGAAAAGGTGTTGCAACATATGCACACTGCGTCTTCTCCCCTTTTAGTTATCGTCTTTCGGGATTACTACTCTATCCTTGGTTTCCCAAATACTCACTACGACATCGAGGATTAGTAACTCTTGATTGGCGATTCAGGGCACACTAAAGGTTTTCCTAGCTCTCACAGCATAAACTTAATTTCGGGACCCTGATCACTAGGAAAAGGCTACCACAGGTGGACGCTGCGTTTACTTCCTCGTCGTTCAGTACCGAAGAGGTTACGCATTTCGGCATTGGGACGCTTCTCTCTAGCTTGACTCGAACCCAAGTACATGGGCATAACCGAATATCGTTGATCAAGCAAGCTCTCTACGCAATGTCACATACACCCCGCGGCGCATCAACTAAGACTAAAGCAGTCACACTGGTAGACTATCACAACATCGCAAGCTTTCACTTCTACAGACGCTGTGAGGGCAATGATGGCTCAGTCATGCAACCTGGTGAAGCTCGTGCGCAGAACTTAAAAACGAAACACAAACCTACGCGAAGATTTGGTTTGACGCATCAAAATCGCAGACCGAAATGCGTCGCAGATCTATCATGCATCCTATGCTTGTGAAAAGGTCTTTAGGACTTCTCTCGGCGTGAATTTCCCCCACCGGAGAAACTTCCCCTCCATTGCGGAGAACCCTTCCAAAGTAACGCCCAACACGTCAAGCGGCTCTCTTTCTGTACTGCGAAAGAGAGAAACTGCCATACTATACCGAAGGGGCTGCTACTCTGCCCTCGGGAGCACGGCAAAACGTTAGACGCATTGCGATAAATGGGTCCGCTTCTGAGCTATCAGCCGTCGTAAATTTACTTATCTTCACGTCCAGTCCACCTCGAAGCACTTCATCGATTTATTCTATGTCCTATGTCAACGCAATTCCATTCCATACCTAGTCATTCAATTTCCCTTGGCATAGCACTCGCAGAGCTCTCGTCGAATAGATCGTCTTTCTTGCTTTCCACTCCACAACAACGTCGGGACCCTACTGAACTCAACTCAAGACATCCAATTACTACTGTCTCTCGTCCTTCAGAATCTCTTAGATAGCCACAATGCCTTCTTTTGACGAGAAAAACGCCTACATCGAAAAAGGCGACGACGTCTTCTTCGACGACGGCCGCGAAGTCGAGCTCCTCCACTTCATCCACAACAAACCCGACATCGACTCCATCCGCGGCTCTCCCCAGCGCGTTCTCCAAGCCATAGACGAATTCGCGCGGACCAAAAAGTACCTCATGAACGTCGGCCAGGCCAAGGGCAAGATCGTCACCGACCTCATCGAAGAAGTCAAGCCGGAGACGATGGTAGGCATCAGGCGTCCCCGATCCCAATCCACTTCTAACAGCCAACCAGGTCGAGCTAGGCGGCTACTGCGGCTACTCCTGCATCCTCTTCGGCGACGCCGTCCGCCGCTCCGGCAGCTCCAGCGCGAGATACATCAGTCTGGAGCGCAACCCCGAATTCGCGGCCGTCATCATGTGCCTCGTCGCGCTCGCCGGCCTCTCCGACACCGTGAAAGTAGTCGTGGGCTCCAGCGACGCCTCAATCAACCGCCTGCACGCATCAGGCGAGCTCAAGCACATCGATCTCATGTTCCTGGACCACTACAAACCGGCCTACACCACCGATCTCAAACTGTGCGAGCAGCTAAAGTTGATCACGCCTGGTTCCGTGCTTGCGGCTGATAACGTAATCACGCCTGGCAACCCGCCGTATCTGGAGTATGTACGTAGTAGTGTGGCAGAGAAGAGAGAGGCGGCGAAGCAGGGCCCGGTTGAGGGCGATGGCGTGGATCCGCGGTTCCCTGGGCGGACGACGCAGCAGTACGCGAAGCGGCTCGGGCAGGCGAAGCTGGAGCACACAGCGAAGGGGAACCCGAATCTCGTGTATGAGAGCCGGATCAACCATAGCTTCGAACCGACTGGCGAGCCAGTAAGTTCCCCTGCCGAATCACCCCTTAGACCACTCATCTCTCTAACGAATGATTGAATCACAGGACGGAGTTGAGATCACGAGATGCACAGGCGAGGAGAAATAAGCGTAGTAGTAAAGAAGCACAGATTGAATTTAGCTATCATTCGACCTCCACCATCGCCACGTCTACATCCTGACCATTAAGGCCGTGACCAGTGGTCGCGTCCTCTCCTCCCCCCACAACCTCGTCCATCTCCCTCAACGTGAAGTCTAGCAGATAGCTCTCATCCACAAGATCCTCTATGCGGCGATAGTGCCGCTCCGTATACGCCTTCAGCGCATCCAGCACATCCCTTAAACTCCCCTTCGCATCCGCCTTCCCCGTCGGCTTCAGCCCCGCAAAGCGTGACGCCGGATACGACTTCACCAGCGTCCAGAGTATCTTCTGCGCGACCGGTGCCGTCCGCGCATTCGTATTCCAGTCCCTAATCCTCAGCAGCAGCTTGAACAGCTGCTCATCCGCCAGATTAGCCAGCACGTCGTCGACAGCCTTCAAGCCTGACAGACTGCCCGCTTCCTGGGTTTCAGCCTCCACGACGCCCTTGAAGAGGCCGAGCAGTCTCGCCGGCTGGTTCAGTTGCAGCGCGAGCGTGATGGCCTCGCGATAGTTCCCCTTGTGCGCGTAGTTCTGCAGTTTCTGGTCCAGCTCCACGCGCTCTGTTTCCGCGGCTACGACGGCTTCCATTGTCGCGGTCGTCGTGTCCTGCCAGAATGTGATGACGCTGTCGCCGCCGCCAGACACCAGCGCATTCGACGTCGGGTTCGCTGCGAGCGCCCACACGCGGTCGGTGTGGTTGTCTAATGTGCAGGATACCCCGCCGCTGGAGGTATCCCATACTTTTACGAGGCCGTCGCCGCCAGCGGAAGCGATCTGTGCTCCGCGCTTGTCGCGTGCGTCTACCAGCTTGTATGCGAGCCAGACGAGCTTCAGGACGCTGTTGGTGTGGCCTTCGAGCGTCAGGAGGCAGCTGTAGTCTGCGAGATTCCAGATCTTGACGGTTTTGTCGCCGCTGCCGGTTGCGATGAGGCCTTTGCTGCCTGTTAAGCCGATGGAGGGAGTATCCTTGGGAGCGAATTTAACAGTCCATACACCACGGCGGTGGCCACGTAGGACACCTTGTGACTCGCCGTCCTCGGTGGAGTAGATTTTGATGGTTCGGTCTTGCGATGCGGAGGCGAATAGGGTCGAGTTGTGGTTTATGTCGATGGCGTTGATGTCCTTATCGTGCGCTTTACGGGTGTAGGTTGCCCGAGATGTTTTCTTCCCTCCCTTTAGTGCACTGGACGTGTCCCAGCGCTTTATGGTCTTGTCTTGAGATCCTGTGATGAGGAATTGGGGGGGATGATCCAGTGGGTTTTCGAATGCAGGAGTGCCTTTGGTAGGAGTTGCGTGTGGCAGAGATATTGCTCCTAATGACTCGGCGTGGCCAACAAGAGTTGACACACAAGTGTATGAGTTACTTTCAGGATCCAGCCTCCATAGACGAGCATTGTTGTCCTTCGCGCCCGTTGCAAGCCAATGACCAGACCAGTCAACATCTAAGCATAATATGATATCCTCGTGGCCTTTGAGGAGCGCGACATCTGCTCCGAAATATGTACCTCCAATGGGGTCGTCCTCTGAGTTGCTGTTGGATTCCAAACTTATTATTCGAATGTCTTCCGAGTTTGTCGCCAATGCTAGGAGGTTTCGAGATCGGCCAATGTAAGCCAAATCGATCACTTCGTCATGGTTCCCAGATATGCGCCGCAGGACCGGCAGGGGTTGTAATTTCCCCTCGTCCGCATAGTCTTTCAATGACTCCAACGAATGTAAAACCAACGTCTGGTCTGCGTGAACGGACAGAAGATATGGGAGATCTTCGTAGTATATGACGTCCAGAATTGCATCTGTCTCTACGCCGGCTTTCTGCTCAACCGTTATTTCTCCGCCTCCTATGGTCCTCCATAAACGAACAGCCCCATTCTCGCCTCCTGTGAAAATGACTGTGCCATTTTGTAGAAACCCGATGCCTTCAACAGCTTCCAGGACCGGGATCGTACTTCGTATTTTCCATGTCCGGCAATCCCAAACTATCGCAGTCTTGTCCCGGCTTCCTGACACTAATGCGTTTTCCTCCGGCGAGAAATCTAGACTGCGAACCACTGAGACGTGGGAATCCAAAATCGCGACACTGGTGCGTTTATGGAGATTCCAAATTCGTATTTTCCCCTCTTCCGCACCGACAGCCAATCGATACCCCAGTGTTGTCTCTCCATCAGCATTGTCCTGCGTCTGATTCTTCTTCTTTTTATCCTTGCCCTGTTTCCCAGTTTCCTGCGCAGGTACCTCGACCTCGAAAAAGAGGAGAGAAGAAATGACCCCGCCATGGCCATGGAGGGTGTGTGTGACGAATCCTCCTTGGATATCCCAGACTTTCACGGTGCCGTCTGCACCTCCAGTTGCAAGCAACGTGCCGGTCTTGTCGACTTTCACAGTCACAACAGGCGAGCCGTGCGGTTTTAACGTCCGAATAAGGTCTGCGCGAATCCGACCGGTGTTATCTGGGGTAGGGGACAGGGAGTATATTCGCATGGAAAGTGATCGCGAGCATGTTATTAGATGCGAGCTACTCGGTGTCACTATTCTGATAAGCATTCAGGCTATAGAATGTTGCATTCGAGTTGTACTGACATGCTAGTGTGGTTACAGCCTCTCCATCCTGCAATACTGTCAGTACTTCCAAATTCGAGGGACGCCAGATTGAAGACTCACTCCTTCAATGCGCGCAAGCTCCTCACCGGTAGCTAGGTCGGTAAGTAAAGCATCTTCATCAACACAAGTCGCAAGACATCGTCCGTCCTGGGCGAGCGCGGCGCTCCCTCCGGTGTAGATTGGGTGGATGCTTCTGCTCACGTCGTAGGTGGTGGTAATACTCGTTCTTTGCGCCATGGCTGCGTGGCACTTCTGGCCGAGTTAAGCAGCTATACAGCTTATATGGGAGCTAGAGCATGTCTTCGAGTCTCCGTTGCATCTCTGGGTATACTGTCTGCGCTTTTGTTGTCCTCAATGGTGCTTCACCGGTTTCACGATCTTCTTAAATTTTTTCCTCGCGAGTTCGTTATCGATAAGACCACTCTGTGAAAAGCGGAGCTGGGTACACGTGATCTATACCTCACCCCTCCGCCCTCTTCAGAAACATCTCCACCATGCACAGCGTGCTTCAGTATGCTTCCAGAATAGCGTCTCTATCTCACAAACTGTTGTAAAGCCTAAAATGTTCGAGGAAAAAAATTTCGTTAACCTTTCGATTCAAGTCTGGGAAATCTACTTAAGCTGTTGCCATGATTCCTCAACCAATGGCTTGTAGCAGACCGCCATTTTTGGAACTAGTTCGGAATCGCCGTAAGCATTTGCTTATCTCAAAAATCGTACGCAGTCAGAGCATTCCTATGCTGCAAGCCATCCACGGTCACTGTGGGAGATAGTTCAGTCGCAAGGCTTTTCATCCACAGATTCACATCAAGGTGTATAACGAACTCACAGCGCTCCACGGGTTGATATATCGGTAGTCGACTAGGTCTAGTACGTCGCTATTTTGCCCCGTTTTGGTAATAGCCTTGGATGTCGAATGATGGGGGTTCATTTTGCCCCCTGTCGAAGGAGCTCAACAAATTTACTCCACTAAGAAGCTCTGCTTAGACCCACAGTGCGGAATGCGGCGTTTTTGGCAGTGCATTTGCCTGGAGGCACGATTCGACCTGCATTAGCGTTTCGGATTGCGCGGGGACAAGGCTACTCGTATTGCTATATGGAGAGGTTGCACTACCACCACCCTTCTATAACGCTTCTAAGTATCAAGACAAGACAATCTCCAGATATCACTGTTTCCCACTATTTCTATATTTATCTCAAGCTTTGAAGTCATGGACATAAAGCAGAGACCTTTTCGGGTGATCGTCGTAGGTGGCAGTATATCAGGTCTCACGATGTCACACTGCCTGCAGCGAGCTGGCATCGATCACGTTGTCCTGGAGAGAAGGAACACTATCGTCCGACCGAATGGTGCCTCTATTAATCTCTGGCCGCAAGGTCTCCGCTTGATGGAACAGCTGGGGTGTTTCAGTGGTACTCCAACTGTCGTCAGCCCTCTATTTAGACAGATAATCGAAAGGTGTGTTTATGTTCTCGAGCAAGTTAATCGCTGTTTATTGAGTGTGCTCACGATTCGCATAGGCATGGGTATGGCTTCCTAGTGATTGATCGCGAGAAGCTCATGCGAATTATCTACGACCATTTACCGTCGCAATCGTACGTCAGAGGAGGCTGTAGCGTTGTCCATATTGATGAGGACAAAACCGGAGTCAAAGTTCATCTAGAAGACGGAAGCGTTGAGGTTGGCGACATCGTCGTGGGAGCAGATGGAGTCAATAGTGTTGTACGAAGGGCTATGTGGACGATCGCAAACGACCGAAGTCCTGGGACATTTTCTGAGAAAGAGCAACAAAGTAATACCTAGTCTATTCTGCCTTTGTATGTTACTGATTTGTCAAACCAGCACTGAACACAACCTACAAATGTCTCTTCGGAACATGTACACCACCTGCTAGATCGGTTTCTGGCGAGATGACCCAAACGCACAATGATAGATTCTCGTTTCTTACTTTGACGCAGCCGACCCGTGTCTACTTTTTCGTTTTCATTAAACTCCCCAAGGCTAGGCGATGGCCAGATCGACCAAAATACAATTCTCATGATGCAGAGCTAGAAGCAAGCAAATATATGGCGTGTCGTATCAACGAAAAGCTCACCTTTGGCGACCTTTGGAGCAACAAGCTCTGGTTCTACCTTACTCCGCTGGAAGAGGGCGTCTTTAAACAATGGCATTGGGGAAGAATAGCACTGGTTGGAGATTCTGCTCATAAGGTTAGTGACACTCATGATCGTTTCCTTAACGGCTAATCAGTGTTTCCAGATGACCCCAAACCTAGCATTCGGTGCCAACAGCGCCATGGAAAGCGTCGCAGCACTCTCAAACGGCTTGAATCGAGCACTCAAGAACCAATCAGACTCTACCCTCAGCCGAGAGCAGATTAGTATGGTGTTCCAAGACTATCAGGAAAAGAGGATGGGCCGCGTGACTAAAGTCCACGACTTTACAGGCGGATTCACGCGGGTTTCAGCTTGGGATGGACTTCTGAATAAGTTCATGGCCCTGTGGGTTCTACCCATTGCTAGCCATGAGTTCGTAGGAGACAAGTTTAGTCGCTTGATCAGAGGTGGAGTGAAGTTGGATTACGTGCCGTACAAGGAGTCGAGGTCTGGTTCCGTGCATTGGGATGATGAATCAAGGGAGAATGCTGGTGGCAAGGGCAAGCTGACATCTGTTACTTTAGTGAGCGTTCTTGTAGTATGTTTGGGTCTCGGCGCTTTGATTCGGTGGCTGTTCTGGATTTTCATGTCCTGATTGAGAGAGCGAAGGCTACTCGTAGCTGTACATGGTGTTCCACCTGCATGGTTGATGCGAGATTGGCAGCGTATTGAGCCATGCTTTAATGCTTTAACGTTCGACTAAATGCCACGAGAGAAGGCCACGAAGTTAGCCAATCGCATTAGATCTAGCTACCAATCGCATTAGACCTATGCTAAACCGATCAACTTTGCTTTGAATAGACGAAACTGGAGCTAGCAGTAATGGTAGTAATGACTTTGAAGCTTGCGTTAATAGTGGCAACGACGGTAATAACGAAATCAATAATACCTCACTATTATGGTGTGGTTGAAGAAGGAGAAGCTGGATAGGACATAAGGGACTTGAGGGACGTCAGGCGGAAGATCGCCGCTAGTCGGCACCACCTGCCGCAACACCTCGTCAATTCACGATCGACCAACGCGCCTCGCCTTCAGAACACGCGCCGGCTTCAGAATGCGCATATCCTACGCTACGCTTTCTCAATTGTATTACTTAGTCCCGATGTCTGGACAGCATGGGTAGACAGGCGTATCTGACCCGCTTAGCTTTGGTGAGTATGCGCTGCGCAATCGCTGTCATGTCTCTCATTCCTCTCTATTCACATCCACAAACTAATTTATTCGTCGTTACAGGGACGCTCTGCCTTCGAGGTCCAAGACCAGAGCGGTTTGCAAGCTTTGCAAAATAGCCATCCCCAAACCGCAGAGTCCGAACCGCTCACGACTCCCATCAATTACTACGTGCAACAATATGATGAGCGAGGGCACCCAGTAAATCCAGCTTCTCGCGAACAGGGACGGATTTTGCGGGAGGCGCAGAACGATGTTCTCGCTGCCATTGGAGTGGTGGAGCGCCGTACTCTACCGCTGTCAGAAGACGACATTCAGTTGTTGTGCAAGAAGATAGATATTCTGGACACAATGGAGTCGGAAAATAACGCTGGAGATCTTGTGGCAGCTGTATCGACATTGGCTGATGTCCTGTGCACCTGGTGGATCGGATCGCTCAGGGATCGGATCTTGGTGAGTCTGATATGACACGGTGGAAAATATCTAGAATCTGACCAAACTTTCAGACTTTTCAAATGCTGCCCGGCATGCACTTCTCGAATCTCGTCTGCGCTCAGTATCAGTCTGCTGGGTTCTGGACGTTCTTCTGCACTGGATTACCTGCCCATATTCTCTGGTCGTCCGCATATCAGACCACAACTAGCCTGGTGGGCAGCTTGAGACTGATCGACCGCTTTCTACTATGGAACCAGCCGTCTAGACGTACAAGAAGACTTATCCGCCGGTGGAAACCCACGATAAACGAGATGTAGGTTGCCCATTTCTCTGTCACATGTGCAAGACTAACGAGGAAACAGTTTCCAGGGGGTAGCCAAAGTCGCCTTTTTCCCGTTGTACTATTATTCTAGTCTTCAAAGACTACATCTTGTGCCTATTCGGCCGTTTCTTCCTCCCTTGGAATCGTTTATACCTTTCATGCCAGCATCGCCTATCCAGAGAGTCCCAGTCCCATCTACTTTTACGCGAGAATCAGTCACGACTTTCGCTGTTTCGTTGCTTGCGTCTCCGCTACTACTCTTCCTCGTTGAAGTCTTCATTGAGAGGCGGGTCTATGGCGTCATATACGATGCCATAGAGTCAAGACGGGTAGAAGCGGGCACTACAGAATTAGCGCACTCCGAGGAATATCCCAAGCCACGGACCGCAAGATTCATTGGCCTCAGTGAAACGCCCTGGGGAGTCTTTGGAACCGCAGTAGATACAATGCTAGGCTATCTCCGCCGAGCATACATCTTCGACGACGAGCTCGATGGTCGCCGGACACCACAGGAACGCTATATAGAGAGAGAGCTCGACCGAATCCGCGCCGAGATCGACTTGGGGAATCTACGAATCAATAATATGGAACGGCTGGATATTCCAGTGGCACATGCTGAGAGCGTTCTACAGCCTGTTGATTTCGGCGGCTCCGATGCAGGCCAAGTTGCTATGCCTCTCGATCCGTCTAGGCCTGTCTCCCCCGTATCACAAACAATCTCTGAAGGGAGCCAGGATGCCATGGACCCAAGCGTTCGAATTACTTCCAGGGAGGAGAATGACGGCATTGTTGAGTTAGAGGTTCGACTTCCTCAATTAGCATCCGTTACGCACGAAGAACTCGCTGCCAACGCTTCAGCACCTAGAGTAGACGATGGCGCCCAAGGCGGCGACGGTCGGCAGTGGATCTTCCCTCGAGCAACGAAGCTTTCGACGGAGCCAGGCCGAATGTTGGGGTCGATTCTGAATAGCCAGATAGTGACCTGGGCAAGGATGCCACTGCAGCTAGCCGGATTGCGGTTGATGGCTGCAAGATTCCAGGCCACTGATCCTCAAGCTCTTTTTGGAAGATCTGTCCAGAATCCACTTCTCGGCTTAGGCACTGTCCGTACCTTTGAGAGAGTGCTCTTGTGTGGAGGGATTGAGTTCATGGGAAATCTTGCAGTCTGGGGCTGTGAGTGCTGCGTTATCGCGTTCTTGGGCCAGGCTTGCTATAGGTGGGGGAAGAGTTGACGCATGGTGGAGAACGTCGGACGACGAAGGTACAACAGGAGGGAAGTCGTCTGTGCACACGTTATGTCTCTGGCTGCAGTCCTCCGACCTCGTATGAGGCTGGTCATAGGACGGGAGCTGAATGGGCGACTATCTGTACAGGCCTTGGTTGAGGACTAGATGGCCATCAAAGATTGATCTGTCCCCATTAAAGCCTTCTGCCGCTCGTCTGACCTGATGATGCTTCAGTTCACCTTGTATAGTAACAAGGAGTATGCACAGATGAACAGCGAACAGCTGACTGTCCTGATGCATGCAAAGGAGCTAGCTTTCAGCCGTCATATTGGGTAGCTCATATCGAGCCATCATGATGTGCGCCGCTACTGCCATCTTGCCATAATGTTAAGACACGGCCGCGTGCTCTTCTCATCCATGTATTCGATAGCTAGCCCACAATTCACATATACAAAGACTTGATATACTGTCCCAGATCTTTGATACTGCGCTGAAAGACCCGCAGCAGTGGCATCAAGAGTGCACACCCCAGCGTCCCGGCAGTGGATGAGGCTTAGCTCCCCCCTCGACTCGATGCAGTGACGCAGCTCTAGATGCACGCTGGAGATCGACGTGCGAGCAGACAGGGATGTACGGAGGTAGCTCCTGCGCAGGGCGGCCATCGCTTCCGTCCAATGAGCGTGGAAGGCGACCGTGTGCTTTCCTCATTAGTCAGGTGGGCATTCTCTTGGGCTGGCGGGAGCGGGCACGATAAATACTGCAATGCTGCCGCTGTTTTCGCGCCGTGGACAGAGTTGTCGACATCCCCTCAGCACGCTGGCCATCGTGTGAATGGCCTCGCGTACCAGCACCAAGGAACCTTCGCAACGGCCCGGGTGCAAGCAACTCCGTAGTGTGGCGGTCCTTGGCTCGGAGTACGTTGCGGGCCACATTCAGTAAGCCCGCAGCACGATGGACTCTACGACGCTGGTTCCCCTGTCTCAGCATATCTAACGCGACTAGACACAGAACCATACCGCCCGAGCCACCCTCCATCGATTATACTCAGTGCCGGGCAGCTGATGCGACTGCCAACTCTCTGGCAGAATCAAGATCACGACATGAGCAGCGTGGGGGAAGAGCAGAGAGCAGAGTGTAGAGGGGACATGTGCGCGGTGGACTCGTCGAATCGGTGATCCGGCAAGAGGAGGCTGCAAGACGCTGCATCTGGACGATCCTACCTAGAGCCGCAACAACGGCATGCATGCCGCTGCCTACAGACCGACTGTACGACTGCAATGACCCCTACGTCAAGAACATGGGCCAGGATCCGGCTTCATGGAGCAGCATTGCTAGAGGGCGGTGTGACACGATCGATGGAAAGCCTGGAGCATGACGGTGACGGTGACGACAACGGCATTGGCTTGAACCCTCACACCCCCCTCGCCTCCATCACAGGCATCGCACGATACGGCCGGTCACGCGCGGCGGCCACACCTGCGACGACTGCGGCGGATATGTACTCCCATCATTGGCGCGTCAACCCCCTCGCCATCACTTAAGACGACCCACGAGGTAGACGCTTCCTAGTCCGGGAGCGCGTTGTTCTCCGGAGCCACGCCACCGAAGTGACTGGCAACCAAGAGCATAGAATGTGCTGATGGTCGTGGCTGGCTCCGTTGCTTTTTGATGAAGAGGAGAAGGAGGATCGAGATCGCGCAGAGTTTTGTGGGCTATGGCTGAGTAAGCACGCTCGGACCAACCAAGTCAGGTGGTCGCTTAGAGCCTCATAAGGCGGGACTGACTGCGGCAAGTTTGATCCCCACTCCCGTTGCTGTTCCCGAGGTCCTGTCTGGGGCTGCTCACGAGGGCACATCCTGCGCGGTCCCGGCCCTCACTACATGTTGCTCTAGACTGTCCATGTGCTTGGCCAAGTCTGACGGCCAGCTCTCCGGGCCCCGACACGTCATCCCCCGCAGCAGACGCATTCGAGGTGGTGCTATGATCGAGTTTGGCTGCTTCATCGAGGAGAGCAATAGATGCACCAATGAGTGCCGCGCTATACATGGCCAGCTCTCCTGGCGTCCCTGGTCCCCAGCCCAGCGGTCTTTCGCCATCCACCCTGCCCTCGCTGTGGGAACTACCCCTTGCGATCGGCCCTGTATCGCCCATCAGCATGCAGAGGGCGGTGATGTTGGGTAACGGCCCGATATACGCGCCACCATGCAATGACAGTCCATCGGCAGTGGCGAGACTCTGGAGTTTACCCCGACGAGCATGCAGCCAATAGCCGACCCTGCCGTCCCTGCCGTCGCTTTTAGCGCAACGTCACTCCTTGGCGCAAAATCGCTTGGCTTTTCGGCGGTGACGGACTCGTCTCCGATGTCACGACCTGCCTTACCACAGCATTCACATTTCACAGTATACCACCGCCGCGGCCGTCCTTTTCTATATTGACATGGTGCAACCCGACCGTCGGCTCCTCCACGAGGCTTGTATCTACCCTCCAAGCCTCAAACCGCGCCTACCATGAGTGCGAGGCCCATACTCCCACTGCCGTCCAACTTCGCGGCCCAGCACTTCCAGCATGATCAATCGCCAGACCGTCCCGACCAGCCCCCAGGCCCGAACCGCCCGACGTATGCGAAGCGTGGCAAAATCACGATAGTCGCGTGCGTACCCTGCCGCAGGAGGAAGACAAAGGTCGATAATCCTCACGCTCTTTCTGCCCAGCGCGCACTCTCCAGGCCCTCCCCCCCAAAGAAAAAACTGACAAGCCTCGCCATATAGTGTGATGGCAAGCGGCCTGCGTGCTCGCAGTGCATCGCCCGAGAGGGGGCCTGCCTGTATGACATGACTGACGAGCAGCGCCGGCTCACCTTCCTGCGAGACAACGTAGAGCATCTGGAAGAGGAGAAGAGCGCTCTGGAAACGCTCGCCAATGCGCTTAAGACCAGTAGCGAGGATGAAGTCACCAAGATCATCAACCAGCTTCGCAACAGTCCCGACGTCCACATCGTTGCGCAGTCCCTCCGGGGTCGCAGGTCCTTTAGTGTCAGTGAGCGACCTGAAGGCTCTGTGATCAGCAACGCTGCCATCAGCACCACTGACTGTAAGACAACCGCCTTCCATCTTAGCTCTGATCGCGGTTACTAAATTATTCGGCCCTTTTAGATGACTCTACTCCAACAAGCCCTGTAGATGTCTTCAGCCGACTCGAACAGTACGAAACTCTTGTTCGGAAAATCACTACAGCTTCCCAAGCCGACTTAAGCGAAATCATCCGGCGCCTGCGATCTCACGACAATATTAGTGTCATACTTTCTTCCATCCAGACTGAGAGTTTGCTCCAGGTCCTAAGCACCCGCGACTACGAGGTTACCCCAGGGATCGAGGCCGATTACTCTAGTCGAGAGCAGATGTTCGGTTTGGTAAAAGGAGCCCATGCCGCAAACTCTAGCCGAGCCCCAGATGCACACGCGCCATTGGTAAACCAGCAGCCTTGGACATCTGTGTCAAATGACTTTGAATTTATTGAACACCTCTTATCTCTCTACTTCTCGTGGCAACACTCATTCTTCCAGAGCTTTCCAGAAAAGCTTTTCCGAGAGGACATGGTCACAGGAGGAACAAGGTACTGCTCTCGACTACTTGTCAACGCCCTGTGTGCAACTGGATGTCTGCTATCTCGTCGACCTGAGGCACGACGTGACCCCAACGACCCAAAAACCGCTGGCTTAGACTTCTTCGACGAGGCTGTGAGGCTGTTGAACGAGACACGAATTTCGAGCATCCCGACCATCGCCGCTCTGTACTTGTTGTGCCATGTAGAGGGCAACCGAGGCCAGCTTAGCTCATTATGGATGTATAGTGGGCGTAGCTCTCGGATGGCGCTGGATATCAACCTACATCTACGAAGCGATAAACCATCATTAGAACATCCTTCTGCTGCTGCGAGTAAAGAAGAGGCAGCCAGGGTTCATGCCTTTTGGGGGTGTTTTATTGCTGACCAGTAAGGACTTGCAACATCAGGGGGTGTGTATAGAAACGTTTGAACTAACATGCTCAGGGTCACAAGCTTTACTCTAGGTCGACTTCCCCAAATATCAACGAACGCCATCACCGTTGAACTACCACCGATCGATGATGAGGTAGACCAAGAGCCCTGGCTGGCTTACGATATGCCTAGTGGGAAAAGGCCAGGGGCTCGCTCCACCACATTCAACCAAGTCGCTGCACTATCGAAAATTGTCAACTCGACGCTTCAAATGTTCTTTGCACCTGCTCAAATACTCAGCGGCACTACTCTCCTCGATGAATATCAAAAGTACTTGCAATGGTTCAGCCGACTACAGGACCTCGTCTCCAGCATTGACGATGCCCCTCCCCACATTCTGTGTCTACAGTAAGTCTCCCCGAACCAACGATACCCTCGCATCATGGTGCTCGATGTTTAGTCCCTCGAGTCATCCAAATTTTCATTGAATCTGAACTATACGCATTCTTGCGTTCCTCGAAATCTTGAATGTAATTTCTGACACGAATTTCCAGCATGTATTACCACGCTGCCGTCTTACTACTCTTTCGCCCTTTCCTCAAAGCTCAATTCACCGAGTCGAAGGTTTCCCCACGTGAGGTGTGTCGCCAATCCGCAAATGCTATTTCCGACATCTTCGCTCAACATCGCCGACTGTACGATCTTGTAGGCATACACACTTTCCAAGTGCACTGCCTTTCAACAGCCTGCACCATCCACATAATTAATGTTCCTACTATTTCGAGCACCAAATACCTTACCGCGGCTTGTAACAGTTTCCAAGATCTTGTACACCGCAACGAGTGGGCAACAGGATCTCTCAACATCATCAAAGGGCTAGTCCAGAAGTGGAATATCATTCTACCACTGGAAGCCGAAACAGCGCTTTACCGCAACCAGGACACCATTTCCAACTTCGACTTCGGATCAGGCAGTCAAAGCGCTTCTAGTGGTGCTCCCTCGGAGCGAGGATCAGCGCCATCCTTCTCAGAGAAGCGCGCCTTGTTCCGCAGTCCGTCCTCGCAGGTCATGCAAAAACGCCAGCGCTTGGCGCCTCGCGAAACGGGCCATCAAGTAATGAACTACCTGTTCGCTCCGTCCCCGAACCAACCCGCCCCGCTACTCGGCCCCATGCACACCAGCACGTCGGCGGAAACAGAGTGGAACGACGAGCTGAACATGGTGGCGCAAGGCTTCGACGGGTTGAATTTCCTCGGCGACGACTGGTTCGATCCGTTCATGGGGTTCCAGGGGGAGAACAGTGCGCTTTGACTTTTGATTACTGAATAAGGCTACTCGAATGCATCAAGCATCAACTTAGCCTGGCATTCCACCGTGGCCAATTGGCATGCTTACTGTTCATAGTATTCGACCTCAACACGTTTCAATGCACTTCAGACTGTATGGCGTTTTAGCGTCTTGATGGGGATCATTCGTCTGGGTCATGATTTCATGACGCGAAGGACGATGACACGATCGGTTGGGTCCTTTTATTTTCCCACACAACATCTTGTACGACAGACAAGTACTAGGACATCGATTGATGGTTTAATGGATAATCCGGTCTTTTCGTCTAGTGGAAGCCTTTCTTCGTCTTGCTCTATTGAAGTTTCGAATTAGGGGCGGGTGGATCCGGAAAATTGTATGTCTATTGCAAGGACTAGATTGGAGTCTATGGCATGGCTAGCGATTAGACAGTGCCCCGCATGGATCTTGATACCAGATAGTAACACAGTAGTAATTACCTGAAGTCTGGCACTCAGGATAATTTCCGATTCCCTCAGGACTGGAACATGGCTCTCACATCAGTTGTGATAATGACGTGGGTTTCATAGTTATCCAAACCGCTTGTTGTGCAGGACACCCTTAGTTCCATGCAATGGTGATGTCAAAAGTAGTATTTCCGACCTCACGTTAAATATCTACCCGAAAAACGCCCAAACCATGCCGTCGACATGACGCCCCGCTCCGACTTCCTCTGCCTGCCTGCCTCACGGACATGCCACGCTGTGGTCGTCTGCGTACTCCTCTTCCCGGATGCCGTCCTTCGTTATCACTTTGACCAAGACGCCCTTGAAGTCGACGGGCAAGCGGCGCTTGAGCTCGTCGGTGCACATGCGCAGGATCTTCATGCCCTGCTCGAAGGTGATGTCCGGGTGGTGGTGCTTGTCGAGGATGGAGAGGCAGTAGTATCTGTGCCATATCATCAGTACTTATAATCCATCCATAGGACAGCCATATTTGTATTGTACAGCGCACGAGAACTTACTGCGCGTATCCGTGTGCAGCATATGGCAGCGGCGCCAAGCTCGCTAGGTAGTCGATCCAGTACAGCGACGGCTTGTCCGTGATCTGGTCGTAGCCGCCGAGCAGCAGGTTCACGGTGTAGGGCTTGCGCGAGCGCAGCGCGCGGGCGAGCTCGCCGCGCACGAAGTTTGCGGTCGCCGAGGGGGACAGGTCCATGGCGTTGCGCATGGAGTAGAGCTGGATGTTTGCCTGGATGTACTCGGCGAATTGGACTGTAGATTGCTGTGTTAGTGAAGGCGTAGCTTGGCTTATGCTGGGTGGGCGGAGAGAAAAGAGGAATCGGGTGTTGTCGACGATATGAGGCCGTTAGGACTGGTACGTACTGGTATCGCCAGCCTCGCCCGAGAACGCCATTAAGGAGTGTGAGTTGAGAGCTCTGGTCTTGTCGTCGGAGGCCTTGAGAATCGTGGCACCTCGCATCGCAGCCTTCGATGCGGCGACGATGGTGAAGTCTTTGCCGGTGATGCCCAGAAGAACCTCCCTAGTGTTATGGTGAGCTCTGTTCAAGCAAACGGAGAGGGTATACTTACATGATGGCAAGTACGTAGAGGAACTGTAAAGACGAGAGCTATGTGGTGAAGGAGAGCTAGATGTTGGGGTGGATGGAGTAAGAGCGGTGAGGATGAGGTCCGCCGGCGTGTCGTCGATGGTCTGGGCCCTGGAATCTGAGGTCGAGGAGGAGATACGGTAAATATCAAGCAGGCTCTGGCGGTGGTGGTCTCTATGGAAGGCAGCTCTCTGTACTCGCGTCCGGAAAATGCTTGGCATCACGTGGGATCTGATAACTTTCCACGTGCCTCCTCCTCCGGGCTTTCTTCCTTGTGCACAACTCCATTTCGCAACTCGCAGCTTGCGTGAGAATCATGTCTAAGATTGCTCAGTAAGAATTATAGACTGTTCCAACAGTTTCATTCAAGCTCTTGCCAGCTTGTTGAGGCAGGTCAGATACTGGTGGACTATTCTAACCTATACAGATATTCAACAGACCGCTTTTCAATAAAGAGCAGTAAACCTCTCTAGAGCATACACAAATGTAATGCTGGCAATGCGGTTCAGATACACTAGCAGCACTGGTCCAAAGTCTACATCACGTGAACTTCTTGGAGCGATCTCGGTGATGTCGTATCTGGTAGGGCTGTTTTCCGCACGATTCTCATTCGATCAGCACAGACCGGCGATTTAAAACACCCCACCAAGGTTTGACACCCCTCCTCAACCATTTCGGAGACCTCTTTAGTTCCACGTCACCGTGCCCTCCAAACACGAGACTTTCTTATCCCACGGCCTCCCTCATTTTGCGACGATAAATCTATCACGTAAGTCTCGTCTTTTCCTAATTCCCTCAATCCGCGGCCGAGCCTGGCCTCCAATTGGAAGCACATGCCAGCGCAGACTCCCCGCCGGGAGCGCGGCCTTATCATCCTAAAGCTGCTTTTTCTTTCCCCCATTGCAACCATTTGAAACGCAACTTAGCACCTGACATCACCTTTCTTCAGCCTTATATAAATCTCATCCGACCCCCCAGGTAAACACTGAGCAATTACAACTGCACCACACTTACAACACCACACTAACACTTCCTCCTTCCTCAGACATCATGGCTATTTCCAAAATCCACGCCCGTTCTGTCTACGACTCGCGCGGCAACCCGACTGTTGAGGTTGACATTGTCACCGAGACTGGCCTCCACCGCGCCATTGTTCCCTCTGGAGCTTCCACAGGTGCGCACACTGCTTCAAGGACGGGAGGAAATGCATCGGGAACAACCGGCTGATCGGTCCGCAGGTTCACATGAGGCTTGCGAGCTCCGCGATGGTGACAAGACAAAGTGGGGCGGAAAAGGTAGGCCCTAGATAACCAGCAGTCGGGCGAGAACGGTACTGACGCATTCCGTTTTCTAGGTGTAACCAAAGCCGTCGGCAATGTCAACGACATCATTGCCCCGGCCCTCATCAAGGAGGCCCTTGACGTTAAGGACCAGTCCGCGGTCGATGCCTTCCTGAACAAGCTCGATGGAACCACGAACAAGACCAAGTTGGGTGCCAATGCCATTCTCGGCGTCAGTATGGCTGTTGCAAAGGCTGCCGCTGCTGAGAAGGTGCGTCAACCTCACAAAATGGAATATACGGGTGTATGGGCTTACATTGAATAGGGTGTTCCACTCTACGCCCACATCTCCGACCTCGCTGGCACCAAGAAGCCCTACGTCCTTCCCGTCCCGTTCATGAACGTCCTCAATGGCGGTTCCCACGCCGGTGGGCGTCTAGCATTCCAGGAGTTCATGATTGTGCCTTCGTAAGTCGCGTCTCTTGGTTGGCTCCCATTCGAGTGCTGACCATAGTCCAGAAAAGCCCCAACATTCACCGAAGCCATGCGTCAAGGTGCCGAAGTATACCAGCTGCTTAAGGGTCTCGCGAAGAAGAAGTACGGCCAATCTGCCGGAAACGTTGGCGACGAGGGCGGAGTCGCTCCGGATATTCAGACCCCAGAGGAGGCTCTCGACCTCATCACTGAGGCCATCGAGGCCGCTGGCTACACCGGAAAGGTCAGTATCGCCATGGATGTCGCTTCCAGCGAGTTCTACAAGACAGAGGAGAAGAAGTATGATCTAGACTTCAAGAACCCGGATAGCGACCCTACCAAGTGGCTCACCTACGAGCAACTAGCCGATCTATACAAGCACCTCGCTACCAAGTACCCCATTGTCAGCATCGAGGACCCCTTCGCTGAGGATGACTGGGAGGCATGGAGCTACTTCTTCAAGACCTCGGACTTCCAGATTGTTGGGTATGTAATTTGCGACGTGTATGGATCGCTCATTGCTGACAGCATTCTTTAGTGATGACTTGACCGTCACGAACCCCACTTTCATCAAGAAGGCCATCGAACTCAAGTCCTGCAACGCTCTTCTCCTTAAGGTCAACCAGATCGGTACGATCACGGAAGCTATCCAGGCTGCCAAGGATGCCTTCGGTGCCGGATGGGGTGTCATGGTCTCCCACAGGTCTGGCGAGACTGAAGATGTCACCATTGCCGATATCGTCGTTGGTCTCCGCGCTGGTCAAATCGTAAGACTCCATCCTAGCTCCATTCTCAGAAAGAGGTCTAATCAGCGTAGAAAACCGGTGCCCCAGCGAGATCTGAGCGTCTTGCTAAGCTCAACCAAATCCTCCGTATCGAGGAGGAGCTCGGCGACTCGGCTGTGTATGCTGGCGAGAAGTTCAGGACTGCCATCAACATCTAAAGTGTCCACGTACGCATGATCCACAGAGGATCTGCTTCAATTGGATGCTTGAACGCGCCCCGAGAGGACGGGGGATAGTCATTGCACGACTGCGTTGAATGTAACGTGAATAAATTGGTAGAACCAAAAGCGATGCAAATTTCAGACGTGTTGAGTCCAAACACTGCCTATCCTTGATTCGCACTAGCGTGATACTCACTCCCACCGTCGCAGAACCATTGCCAACAAGAACAGACATCATTCCGAGAGAGAGACGCCCACGCAATCAGCAACACTCCACCAAGCCTTGTGAGTAGACTTCATTGTGACTCATTCTCCCGTGTATGTTTCAGACTGTCTGTGTGTTGCCCTGAAACCGCAACGTTGAAGCTGTGCCACTTCCGAACGAAACATACGAGGCTCCCTATCCGCTTGGCAACTCTTCGCCACCCGATAGAATATACCACCGCCACGCATCGGAAGGATCATATCGGCATCGTACCAATACTCCGACATGCTTGGGTGGTATTCCCTTGCTGTGTAAGTGGTTTCTACTCATCCTTCCATCAATGCTGCCACTACGGACAGTATTTTGCTCCTCCCATAGGTCAGTTTTCCCTATTTTAGAATCTTTCCATCTTTTCGTCACTCATACAAACCACTCTCCAAATATCATAAATAGACAATGCTCTCTTCAGTCAATTGTCCTGGTCATAAAATAGAGCCAGCTACGTTTTGTGCCAGTACCCGAAAATGGTTACCAAGTGCTTCTTCGACTGTGTCTGGACTGGTCCCGAGGTCGGAATAGGCCCCAAAAACGATGTCACCAAGTTAGGCGATGTGAAAAACCAGTTCGGTCGCATCATCTTCCTGCTCCTCGACGAAATCGCCCTCAAGACGACCGAGAATTTCCGTGTCCTATGTACCGGCGAGAGAGGCTTTAGCTATAGAGGATCCAAATTCGACCGCATCATTCCACAGTATATGCTCCAAGGAGGAGACATCGCCCACTACGGTACCGGTGTCTACGGTCAGAAATTCCCCGACGATCAGTTTGGGTTACAGTTCAATCAGCCCTTCCTCTTGTGCATGAGCAACACTAGCCCCGGAACCAACAGCTCCCAGTTCATCATCACCACAACCGTCACTAGCGGGCTCAACAACAAGTACATTATGTTCGGTTATATTGCGTATGGTGACGCTGATTCAGTGAGGGTTATCAGGGCTATCGAAGCCTGCGGGAGCAACTCTGGGAGCATCAAGTACAGCCACACACCGACGATTACCAGTTGCGGCCAAATCTAGTTGTTTCAGAGGGGTGCGTCCATCAGCGGCTGGCTAGAGGGGGCATGGTGACACAAGGCCCGGAAGTCGAAGGGGATTCGCAACGATTAGTGAAGGAGGAAATATCCTAGATTTCAAAGTGCAAATTGATCATGTTATCGGTCTTCGATATTGTATATCTACTTTCGGCTCATCTAATCTTCACAGTCCTGGTTACTGACAACAAGTTTCAGGCAGAGCATCCAAGACTTTTTCAGCAACATATCCAGAACACCAGAAAGCGAGCCGCTTGAATCTATGTTCCTTATCTCAAAATTCGACCATGTACAAGCAATCCTTACGTCTTAACTTTGTTTCCAGCGCGCCAACTCCGTGGTCTGAGACATCATTCTTCTCATCAGCATGCTTGCGGCGCTGTGTACCACTGGTCTCATTACAATATTATTAGAGGCAAACATCCAAGGAAAAATGGTAAGTTCAATAGGGACTAACATTTCAAAGTTTGCTGAGATACGAGACGACCTTCGGTGCTATCACTAGAATAACTCATTTTCGTTGCCGAAAATCTTGCAACCCATGGTATAGGGTCAAGTGGAATGCCATTTTGCCGCTCTATCATTACCAGGACGTATGTTCTTCTTCAACCTCAACTATAAGGTCGAATTCCAAGAAGCTTAATATCCAATCGCGCGGCATGATGAAGGTTCTCTTCCTCGCGACGTTCGTCTTCACCTCAAGCCAAGCTTCGATCACAGCGACTACTATCGACTCTGAGGAGTGCCGGAACGACGATGTCTCGACGGCTACTCGACTCGAGCAACCTCTGACCTGTTCACCAACATTACCCATATCCAGCGTACTGATCACCGTAACATCAGACATCACAATCACGACATGTTTGCCCCGAGAGCAGAGCGCGACGGAGTCGATCACGTATTCCACCACGTACGAAACATACAAAAGTCAAATCCAAGCCACTGTAGTATCCTTTGGAGCTCTAAAGGAAGGCCAGAGCTCCGTACCTACTACAGTACCGAAGTTTCAAGGATGCATTGCCGAAGCACACACCCCCAGCGACCTAACGACCACTGCTGGTGAATGTAACGAATGCACCAATGGACGTCTTCCGCTCACCACTCCTGTCACTACATACATGAATATCTACACCACCTATTATCCATACCTCTGTCCGACGGGATGGCCAGTCGAAGTACACGGTCACCGAAACATGCGCCGGCGAGACTCCGCTTTGCCACCGCACATCGGGGTATCTACCCCCGGGCTTCATTTCAACGGTGACCGTTTGCGAGCGGTACCAAAATGGACCAATCACTGCTACGATCACGATACCGCGCTCTTCGACTGAGATAGTTGATAGGCTCGGAAGCTGGAAAGACCAAACACATTCGACTTTTACCAAAGAAACGAGTAGCAATGTCCCCGGCGACGACTACAACGACGACAACGACAACGCACAAGCGCCAGAGTCGACACAACGGAGTATTTTCCCGGATGCAACCAGAACTGTGTTCGCAAACGCTGCTTCCCGATCGATTACTCGACTAATGCCAGAATTCTTGACGTTTGCTTTCACGGCCATGGGGACCTACCTGCGATGAAACTGGTTTCCATCACTGAAAGGAATCTCAGTATAAGCCTGCTAACGTCCGTCCCTAGGTGGCGCAACACCCACCGTGCCGCACAATATAAGGGGTACATTGACTTCAAACAACTCAAGCTCTCTGCACACATCGATATTTCCTGTAACTTTGTATAAGTCGTTTGCTGTGGCCATCCTAGAGCCCTTAGAACCTCTCCTACGGAAAAATTACGTTCGCATCGTCGCCTGAGCGCCTGATTTGCGGAGAGCCTTCTTTTATGGCGTAATCGAATTCCGCCACAGCACCACTATCGAGCTCCCATCACTCCTGATGCTCATAAAATGGCCTTATCCGAGCCTTAGAACCTCGCTACCATACTAGGAAGTCATCATCAGCCTTATGGCTGCTGTTGCACGCAAATTCATGCAAGGTCGCCACCCTGGTCGGTGGTCGGAAGCAATTACTAATCCAGCTAGGACAAAACGACCCCGCACGTCTGACATAAGCAACGCGGTGTAATTTACTTATGTCATCCAACAAGCCAAGCTTGTGGCTGTAAACGTGTGGCTAATTGGGACCTTAGTACCTGTGAGGCGCCTACAGAGTATATAGATATCCGGCGCCCAGCCTCGTGCTGGCGGGCTGCCAGCCGCCTGCGTGAGGCATGCTAGTCACGTGCTCGCTTGGCGCTCGCCTTAGATAGCCCGGATCTCACGATCCCCCGGATTCTCCAAGAATTCGTCTTGTCTCTATCTCAATTGATCTACGTAGCTACGGTTATTTCCATCTAAATTCCATCAGAAGCTCCCTGCCGTGAACCCCCTCTTACAGTACCCCACCTTATGTATCCAGTTAGGCACTACTAGCCTAGGCACGTGATTTGTCACGGTACAAGAAGGTACTTTTCTACCACAGCTTAAGCTGACAAGGTTATAGCTAGAGCGGGTCGGCCCTCCTCCCTGCTAGTGTCACCAAGACGTCCGTCCGCCCCGAAATATATAAGCACATTCGTCCAGGAGTCGCTTGAAGTCGCCTTCCGCAGTCTGACGGCTGCATGTCAGCCTTATTGCGCCACGCCGACGATCAGTCCCCACCCCGCCCGCAGCTGAGCTGTTCTCCCTCCCTCTTTCACCAACCCAAAGACGCGGCAAAGCAGAATAGAAGTTGCTCACAGCACTCTTGCGCGGCCTCGCAATCAGATGCGATTCTGTGGTATGAATCCGCGCCCTATCTCTTTGTTTTCTTGCTGACCTCAATAGCCTAGGGGTGCTATGCTCAGCAGAAGAGCCAGCCGTCTTCTCGTCTCTTCGGCTAGGCTGCCGCGTTTGCACCGACCGAGATCCATTCTTACCGCTTGCCCGTCAAGCTCTATGCGAAACAATGCGTCTTTTGAGACGCTGCGATAATGGCGATTTCAGTCTTACTCAGTTCAGCGACGAGGCTATTCCTCCCTATGCCATACTTTCGCATACATGGGGAGAAGATACTGAAGAGGTCACCTTCGAAGACCTCACAAACGGCGCCGGCAGGGACAAGCCTGGCTACGAGAAGATCTGGTTCTGTGGAGAACAAACTGCACAAGATGGCCTGGAATGGTTTTGGGTAGACACCTGTTGCATTGATAAAGCAAACAAGGCTGAGTTCTCCCACGCTATCCGGTCCATGTTTCGCTGGTACCGCAACGCAGCGCGATGCTATGTCTACTTGTCAGACGTCTCTAGTTCCTCTCTTGAAGCCAGCGGAGAACCGAGCCCGCCGCTGTGGGAATCAGAGTTCCGGAAAAGCAGATGGTTCACTCGAGGCTGGACCCTTCAAGAGCTTGTTGCCCCACGCACAGTCGAGTTCTTTTCTTGTGAACAGCGCAAACTTGGTGACAAGATATCGCTAAAGTCACAGATCTATAAAATCACAAGCATCCCACATGCAGTGCTTGAAGGAGCCCCTCTTTCTCAGTTCAACATTAACGAGCGGTTGCGGTGGAAGGAACACCGAGAGACTAAACGCGATGAAGACGAAGCCTACTCGCTGCAAGGAATATTTGGTGTTGACCTAGCGCCTATATATGGCGAAGGGGCAGCGGGCGCGTTTAGACGCCTTATGGACGAAATCTCTAAGCTAGAAAGATGCGTTCAAGACATACATAGCACAGATCCGCGTGACGATAAGAAGCGCATTGAACATACGAAGGGCGGACTGATAAAAGCCTCGTACCACTGGGTTCTCGACAACATCCACTTCCAGCAATGGTACAACGACCCGCAGAGCCAGCTGCTGTGGATTAAAGGTGATCCTGGCAAGGGCAAAACAATGCTGCTCTGCGGCATTATCGACGAGCTACAGAAGTCGATAGCTAAAACGGGCCTCGTGTCCTACTTCTTCTGCCAAGCCACCGACTCGCGCATTAACACCGCAACGGCCGTACTGCGAGGGCTGTTGTTCTTACTGGTTAGCCAGCAGCCGTCGCTCGTCTTGTACGTTCGGAAGAAGTACGATCACGCGGGCAAAACCATGTTCGAGGATGCAAATGCTTGGGTTGCTTTGACCGAGATCTTCACGGACGTGCTGCGGGACCCGAGCTTGAACGCTACATATCTGATCATCGACGCGCTAGACGAGTGCGTTACCGACTTGCCAAAGCTGCTCGACTTTGTTGCAAAGCATTCATCTGTGTCTTCCCGCGTCAAGTGGATTGTCTCATGCCGCAACTGGCCGGACATTGAAGAACAACTAGAGCGGACAGGCCACAAGGTAAGGCTGAGCCTCGAGCTGAATGCAGAGTCTGTGTCAACGGCTGTCCGGACCTTTATCGAGCAAAAGGTGTCTCAGATGGCGCAGCAAAAGAAGTACGATGAGCGAACCCGAGACTCTGTGCTAGAGTATCTGGCGTTAAATGCGAACGACACCTTCTTCTGGGTAGCGCTGGTGTGTCGAAACCTCGAAATGACGGCTAAACGGAACGTGCTCAAGAAGCTTAACTCGTTTCCGCCTGGACTGGACTCTCTATATAAACGGATGATGCAGCAGATCGGCAAGTTGGACGATGCTGAACTCTGCAAGCAGGTGTTGGCGTCCATTGCGCTCGTGTACCGGCCAATCACGCTGAAGGAGCTTGTGGCCCTTGTCGAACAGCTGGGAGAAATAGCTAATGACCAGGAGTTGCGCGAGATTATTGGCCTCTGTGGCTCGTTCCTCATCCTGCGAGAAGATACCATATACTTTGTGCATCAATCGGCCAAGGACTTCCTCCTCGCTCAGGCAGCTGAAGAAGTGTTCCCATCCGGAAGGGAGGATGTTCATCACGCCATTGTTGCCAGGTCACTCGAAATAATGTCTAGAACCCTGCAGCGGGACATGTACGGCTTAAAAGCGCCAGGGTATCCTGTCAATGACATTAAACAGCCAGATTCTGATCCATTAGCAACGTTGCGCTACTCGTGTATCTACTGGGTCGATCATCTCTGCGAATTAAATGCCGTGTCTTTAGCGAGCCATGCAGGAGACCTGCAAGACGGAGGCGTTGTCGATATGTTTATGAGGGAGAAGTATCTTTACTGGCTAGAAGCTCTCAGTCTTTGCAAAAGTGTGCCGAAAGGCATAGTCTCGATGGCGAAACTACGGTCGCTGGTTCAGGTATGTCCGCAATAAGCAACTTAGTTAGATTGTTCTGACAAAACCTAGGGAAGAGGAAACACAACTTTATTCACTAAGCTTGTTTATGATGCGCATCGGCTCATCATGTATTACAAAGGAGCAATAGAGAGTTGCCCTCTTCAGGCATATGCGTCTGCGCTGTTATTCAGTCCAATAAGGAGCTTGGTGAGAGGGCTGTTTCAGCATGAAAAGCCGAAATGGATCACTATCATGCCAGCTATGGGTGAGGGATGGAACACGTGCCTGCAGACGCTTGAGGGCCATAGCAGCTTGGTCTACTCAGTGGCCTTCTCTCACGACTCAACGCGGCTGGCGTCTGCGTCATACGACCGCACAGTCAAGATCTGGGATGCGAACAGTGGCGAGTGCCTGCAGACGCTTTACGTTGGCAGGGTGCTCATGCATATGTCATTTGACACCACTGGTTTGTATCTTTACACTTCATGTGGGACTATCAGTATTAGTGCAACTCAATTAGTTCCCACAACAATTGCGACACATCCTCAGACTCCAGAATACAAAGGCCTGGCTTTAAGTTCAGATGGAGCATGGATAACACGCGATTCTAAGAAGGTACTATGGCTACCGTTGGAGTATCGGCCATCATGTTCTGCAGCAGTGGTGGGGAAGATGCTTGGCATTGGTGTTAGGACTGGAAGAGTCTGGATATTCGACATGTCAGCCTAACATAGGCTAGAGCATTTGTATTGAGATGATTTATTATCTTTATTTTCTTTTATATCTCTATTTCATAGAGGGCCGGGGATCGAGATGAATATATACCCTCCTAATTTGCCACCGCGAAGCTTCGAGCATTCTTTATTATAGAACCACATGTTGCAAGGGTTGCCACTTGAATATCAGCAGAGACGAACGCATTAATCATGCTAGTAGGGAGGACGGCCGACCCATTCCGACACACTCTTGTCAGCTCAAGCGGTGGTGGAGAGGTACCTTCTTGTACCGTGGCAAATCACGTGCCTAGGCTAATGGTGCTTGATTGATACATAAGGTGGGGTACCAAGGCTTCCGCTTACGGGTAGGTAAATTAGAATCCATGTTGCGACCACGTTTGGGGTGAAGCCGCATTTGCTAGCAGTTGTAGACAGGTAGCAACAGGTAGCAACAAGGAACGGCTGCCAAAAATAGCCAGTACGTGACCATTTATGGTTGTTTCTGGAAGAGCGCCGCATTTTAAAACATAGCGTAAAATATAGTATAATATCTAATACCTCCCTATGTAAGCGCTATAAACCCTCATGCCAAGACATATGTAATGGGCTGCGCCCTGGTGGGTGCTCCTACGGCTCGGCCTCCGTAGCACGGTGCTTGCAGAGCCTCAACGGTGGCTAAGAGGCTGAGGACGGAACCGACCTAGCGTCGTACGAGGACGAGGCTGGGCAGCCCCCTTTTCCGCCTCGTGCCTGCCCTGCTTCCCTTTTTCCTTAGATACTATTATTCTTCTGTACCTAGGATACAACGCGTACACGTTAGTTGCCTCTTGCACCCTTCACAACATACTATAGACGTCTTCGCACGGATAAATCCGGAATGCATGTTTCCAAGAGACTTTTGCCTCAAAGCTTGGAAATATCTTCTTTTATCCTAGAACTACTCAGTTCAATACTCCGAAATATGAAATTTAGGAGATAGTCGTGGTGTAGCAGGGATGTACGGAGGTTCCCTTCAAAAGTTTCTGCCGCGCTAAAAACGCCATGGCGCACGCTAGACGTTAGCCTACGCCACAAACCGTCTAGCCCCTTCCTATACGGGCCTAGCGCCAACGAAAATCCGCCACGTCAATGCCAAGAAACCCCTCCATCACCTGTACACTCCACTTTCTGATTTGATTCTCGTCCACCACTGTGCCAATAAACTATGTACGACAATGCTACAAGGGCGCAAGCCCTTACGCTTAAGGCTATGAATGTTCTTTCTGACCAAATTACTGCCATCACTGGCATGTCAGAGCGCACGATTCGGGACGTTTGGAAGAGGGCCATAGATCGCGGCTGGAACCCCCAACAATCGCTTAAAGTTCTTGACATATACGTGCAAGATGCACCTCGCTCTGGCCGGCCGACTGTACAAACCCCAAGGAAGATTGCAAAGATGGAGAAGTTAATTACTAAGAGCAGAGCTGGAAGGGAATTAAATACTTACCAGCTTGCAGAAGAGGTGGGAATCTCAGCCACGACTGCATGGCGCATTCTTCGCCGCCACCTTAACATGCGGAAGACGAAACTTACACGGAAACCTGGGCTACAGAAGTGGATGAAGCAGGAACAATTACAGTGGTGCCTTGACTATCAACACTGGACTCTTGAGGACTGGAAGAATGTTATCTGGAGCGACGAGACGGCCTTTGTAGTTGGCCAGCGCCGTGGAGGATATTGTATCTGGCGTCGGTTAAACGAACGGTTCTTGCGCACAATAATACGAGAACGCTGGAAAGGATACTCAGAGCTTATGTTCTGGGGCTGCTTCTCTTATAATCGCAAGGGCCCTTGCCATATCTGGCACCCAGAAATAAAGGCTGAACGCGCTGCAGTAGACAAAGATCTCGCCGAGCTTAACAAAACTATTGAGCCTATTGCACGGGCAGAGTGGGAGCTAGAGAATCCTCTATCGCGCCTTGGGGCAACACGCAACCGCCCAGGCAGGAAGCCGAAGTGGCAGTTTACACAGGATACTGGAAAGCTTACAAGAGGCAGTGGAACAGGCGTTGATTGGTATCGCTACAAGAAGGAGATCTTAGAGAAGAAGCTTATCCCATTTGCCCAGCACTGCGCGCGCGATCGGCAGGGTACAATTGTACAGGAAGATCGTGCTCCTGCGCACGTACATCATCACCAAGCAACTGTCTACGCCGCTGCTAAGGTCCAACAACTTCTCTGGGTTGCAAATTCCCCAGATCTCAACGCGATAGAGCCTGCCTGGCCTTACCTTAAGCGCACAACTACAAAGAAGGGCGCGCCAAAGTCTAGGGCACAAGGAGATAAGCGGTGGCGGCAGAGCTGGAAGGATATGGAGCAATGGCGCTGCCAGGCCTGGATTCAACGGATTCCACGACATATCCAAGAGATAATTAGGCTTGAGGGCGGCAATAAGTATAGAGGGCGCTATGGAGAAGACTCGCCATTTGAAGCGCCCAGACAACTGGGCAGATGTTAACAATGACAACAACAACGACAACAACGACAACGACAACGACGACGACAACAACAACTGGGTAGATGTTGATAACAATAAGGGCACTAAGGACGCTGAGCAATCACCAGAGGCTGCATCAAGGAAGAAGAAACACAAGGAGCGCGCAGAGGCAGAGCGCCTAGTGGCCCTGACATCTTCAAGACTAGCAGGGCATCAAAAACAGAGCAAAACCCTGCCAAAATCTCGAAAACGAATGCTCGTACGGTCAGGTTCATATCTGCAGAAAATGACCCGTTGGCTGCACAAACGGAGCTGCCATATAGCCTACCTGGCGCGCCGCGCCGTACGCGCTCAGCTACTAGGGCAGCAGCGAACCAGACTCATTAAACTGGTGGAGCTACACCAAATATACGAGTCTCGGAGGGGGCAGGAGAGGTTATCAAGTAGCTACATAGTTGTGTGCCGAGCTGGTGGCGTTTGGTGGCGTATTGAGGCTTAAGCCACATTTTTTAGCGCGGCAGAAACTTTTGAAGAGAACCTCTGTAAAGCTAATGCCGTTCCAGATGCTCTGAAAGGAATAATCGACAGTATCCCTTCGCCCGCTGGTTTACGTCCTCAGTTATCGATAAGGATTTGGCCAATCAGAGGCTCTAGATTCGGCTCCGTGATGAGAACTGCACCCAGGTAAAGCAATTTAACTGCTTGTAGTTACTATATACAAGCTAGTCCGTGGAGTTGAGCTTGGCCAGGTGGTCCTGCCAGCCGGTGCAAACAGAGCTATGCGCACCGGCAACCGTACAGAAAGGAATGCGACACACAGAGCACCCAAATCGAGTGGCGCGTACGTTTGAGCACGGGCTTGGCGGCAAGCGAGGACGCCAGCGGGCGAAGGGATAATCAAGAACATTGTAATTTTTTAGCTGCACACTAGTTTCCTACGCACACCCCCCTTTTCGCTATTTGCACACCCCCCCTCTTGGCGCTTCACCACCTTCTGATTGGCTCGGAGCAGCGCGGAGCTTCCTCCGGGCATTCACATTTACCTCTCTCTACACGTGATGCTATACGCGAGGCCGTACGTGAGCTCGTATATGAGGCTATACGTGAGGCTATACGAATCGGCATGGCTATACAGCTTCTCCGTTTTGCAGCTTATTCTTTCTATTTCCTTCAGCTGTATATACAGTTGTACGTGAGGCCGTATATAAGGCTGGTAAGTGATGCTATACGTAATGCCGTACGTGAGACCGTACGTGAGGCCGTACGTGAGGCCGTAAGTGATGCTGTAAGTGATGCTGTACGTGATGCCGTATGCATAGCTAAATGTGCAGTGCTAATATGCCTAGGAGCATGCCGAAACTATCAAAACGTCGCCTTGTAGAGGCTCCTTTCCATTAAGCCTGGCTCGCCTGCATTGCCGCCTATATTGTCACCAGCATTGCCACCTGCATTGCCACCTGTATTGCCACCTGCGCTCGCTTATTTACTTCTAGAGGAGCACGAGAGGAAGCTCCGAAGAGTCGACCCGGCCGCTCCAGCCAATTAGGAGATCAGACGAGAGGGGGGGGGGTGCGTGGAGGGATTAGGGGGTGTGAGATTATCAACGCCCGTTTCCTAGGGAGAAATATCTGAAGAATAATAGTAAGTTAACGATAACTTGATGGAATGGCGAGGGAGAGAGTAAGATGCCGAAGCAATAAATTCGTTGCGGCATGGGGAGTGTTGCGCCACACAACTCAGGTTGCAGCACTACAACCTAGGATCAACAACTCATATGCCAGAAAGCTACTCTCCGAA